GTAGAAAAGAGGTCGCTTTATGCTTTTGCCCGCGTGTATGTTGGTTATTGTGGTATCACTGAAAACGTAGCTTTCCATTGGTGAAAGAATTTTTAAAATCTGTTTAGTGGTGACAGGGTAACAAACAAACTCATTTTCACATTCATAAGACAAGTATTGATGTATGAGTACAAAGCCTTTTCTTTCAACTCGAGGCTCAATTCGGTCACCATACTACCTCCATCAAGTTTGTGTTTCATGTCAATCGTCTTTATCTAACAGTATCCACAGCATGTTCGCATCACCACTACGGGAAATTATATCTGATTTTACCCCTACACCTACGAATGACATTGATATTTGATCTGAGAGACTTGCGTACAATTTCGGTACTCAAACAAATATAACAAACACACTACAAAAGAATTCGAATTTCATGACAAGAGTAAAACAATTTTTTTCTCACAGTTACAATTTATCCAAGAAAACACTTTTAATTAATTTACTTATTTATAGAGATAGTAAAACGCATATTTATAATAGTTACATTAGTAATAAAGTAGGAAAAAAAAGGTGGCAACACTGTTTTAAAAAAAAAAGATAGAAAATAGATGAGACGGACGTAGCTGCAGAGAACAACAAAAGACAAATAAACGCAAATGGCTAAAACGGTGCAGGAATCATTTTTCCTATACAGGGATACAAGAAAAGTCGTGCTAGATCCGTTAAGGGCGTGGAGTACCCATCATTTCTGACATATTTCACTATGAAACACCCTACCCTAAACTTAACCCTTTTCGAGATAATCGTCTTTTAATATTTTTTTTGAAATTTGCTGATTTTTAGGCTACTACATTTATTTTTGTTTATTTTGTGTATCTTATTATTATTATTTTTGCATTTTTACATGTGTAATAAGATGCTTTAGGACGTCAGTCATTAAAATAGTTCATAAGTTAATTGAATAGATCGTAGTAGACAAGTGAAAGTAAAGAAATAAAAAAATCCTACCCTAACCCCCATGGATTTTCATGTGTGGGGGTGCATGAAAAGTCTTGTGTACAGCGAGCCGAATCCAGTTTCGTCTGTGGAAGACTTACGAGAAAGGATTCTGGATGCAGCAAATAAAATGAGGACCACGTTGACCACTGGAGTAGTGAAGACTGGTCTCCGTAGAAGGATGCGACAATGTATCAGAAATAGAGGCGGCCATGTTGAACATGAACTGTAGAATAAGAAAAAGTTGTGTGAAAACCTTTAATAAATGACATTTCATGCTTAACTATTGTTTTATTTTACTTTTTCGGGCTAAGTATAAATTTTCTTCTCCACTGTCGCCTATGAAACTAAAGTTTTTTCAATGCATTTGAATAAAACCTTAGATTATTATACCTCGTTACATAGCTGATGAAACGTAGATATTTTAAAAAACAATTACCATAATATTGTTTTTAGATATCCGTTAGAGAAAAATAATTTTCTAATATTTTTTTTCAAAAATCAGCAAATTTCAATAAAAAAATTAAAAGACGATTATCTCGAAAAGGGTTAAGTTTAGGGTAGGGTGTTTCATAGTGAAATATGTCAGAAATGATGGGTACTCCACGCCCTTAACGGATCTAGCACGACTTTTCTTGTAACCCTGTATAGATCGCTGCTAATTAAAACAAATAAAAAAGGTCATGTGAGATAAAATACCTATGGATTCGGTAAGTTTTCTCATGTGATTTCGAGCTGTCAAAATGTAAATGTACGAAGGAGAAGTAGAACGGTGTAGCTAATGTGGTAGAACGAAATGGCTGCTGCGGGCAAAGAAAAGAAGTCACCTCCGTCATTTTTACGATGTGTAGTCGTAGTTTGTAATTTTAATAGAACTTGTATTCCACGTACACACTTTGACACTATTTATACGACTATAGAAATTATGTTTCTGGTTAAGTTGGTGAAAAAATCCTTGAAGTTGCTGTAATTTGTTACAATAGTAGATGATTACAGATAAAGATAAGACATTTTTAATAACCATTTCTAGTGTTATCGTAGATTTGTTCGTTTTAAAGATAAAAATGTAATCCACAACCTTACACAGATTATGACGTATGTTACACAGATTTGTCTGTAAAAATTAGATGTTCAACTTCTTAATATTTTTATAGCTTGCGTTCTGACAGTTCAACTTGATCTGATGCTGCGGACAGCAGGGATTTTCTGTTCGCTTCACTTTGTAAAGTTTTGTTAATTCCAACTCTAAACTAAACTTTCTCGTCCATTGACGGCTGCAGTCACTCACCTTTGCCTTCACTTTACTGCCTCCTATACCACAGGAAAAAAAAAACAATTAAAAGTGTTATTCGTTCAATGACAATTATTTCTTTCAAAGATAACAAAATGAACGAATAAAATTAATCAACTTAATCGATTGCAACATAATAAAATTACAGTTGAAGTTGATTGAACATACCAGAAGGATACTTATTTCACATCACGCCAGCCTTTAAGGGTCCACTACTGGACATAGGCTCCTCCTTAGAGGTTTTGGCCTACTATACCACGCTGGCCAGACTTGTTGGTATAGGGTTTGTGTAAAGTTTTCCTTCTATTTGCAGTGCTCCCTTAGTCGGCTCTTACCACACCGGAATGAATAAGTATACCTGATTGAAATATTTTAATATACTGATAAACAAACACCGAGAAAGATTTATTTGATACTCACTGGGTCAACTATTTCATCAACTATGTTTTCATAGTAGACAGAAACAGGGGTACATCTAACACTTTTAATTCCATCGATCTAATTCTTAATTAAACGCAACAGCTGTGTTCAAGCTGTCAAGTCAACGAAGGGTTACTTGAGATCGGTAATGGGGCTTGTAACATTATTAAAACTTCTCTTCTTCTTCGTTAGAAGTAAAGTGAAATTAACAGTAATCTCAAGTTTATACTCGTATAATTCTACATTGAAGCTTAATATATAATAATATTCTACCACAGTCACACAACGCCATCTAGTCCCAAACTAAACAAAGCTTGTACTATGGCTACTAGATAACTGATATAAATACATATATACTGTTTATTTTTTGTAAATACATACCCATTATACATAGAAACATCAAGACCAAATCAAACATCAAATGTTCATGCACACAAATGTTTGACTTGCGCGAGAATCGAAAGCGCGACCTTTGGAATAGCAGTCCGTTACACAAACCACTACGCCATTCGGTCGTTTAATAATACTATAAAGTACCTATATACCTATCATTGACATCCCAAAATTCATATTGATTAAATAAACATGAGTCATTTCGTTTCTTGTTCATATCCAAAGGCGACTAGAAAATAAACAACATTGAAAAGATATTTTCAATATGAAATGTCACAAATAATACATCTTTTAAATATAAAGACATTACTTTCCGTTAACATTCGCCGAAGGTATACTTTTATCGCAGAACTGCAAAACGAAATAGGCCAGATGGTACAGCTTTAGTGTGCAAGTTTGATTAGGATATACGGTATATATGGTCACAATTTGTTTGTAGTTTGGAATCCGTCGTGAACCTCACCAGAGTTAATGGCAAGGTGATATGTCTTAAACTACTCGATGTTCTGTCATGGGATCTGAATATGAGAGCCTCCTATGTACCCTGGCAAGAGATTCCCTGTAATAAAATAGATGTTCTTTGTTGAGCAGGCAATTACGCTTATTTGCCAACTGTAGTTAAACACGAAGGAAACCACCTTTTATGAAAATATGACGTACCTTGCTGTAATACTTCATCTGGTATCATACTTTTCTGAGTAAAGTTAAAACTACAGAGAACAAAAACCATTAAATCTAAAGTACTTTGAGTTCCAAAAGAACCTTTGAGAGCCGAACATTGATGCAGCTGCCGAGGTACTCGGTCGCATCATATTTTTTAACATTTACTTTGATTACATTTGATTTGTTGTATTTTTCAGTAAATAATGTACAAATCGCGTTCAAGTAAAAAAATAAAACCACGTAATATCCTATAGTCATTCATATAGATAAGTCAACTACGGCGCGCTTATTTTTGTTGTTAAATGGAGGGTAGTTTTGTAACTGGTCACTGTTTTCCTTTTGACTTATTTGTGCTACTCATCAACAGCCTATTGCAGTCCACTGCTGGACATAGGCCTCTCCTTAGAAAGCAGGTTTTGGCCTACTATACCACGCTGGCCAAACGGGTTGGTATAGGGTTTGTTTCAAGTTTTCCTTCTCTTTGCAGTATAGTGCTGTTGTCCTGCGTATTTTGCTGTCGTAGTCGGCTCTTACGACACCCACGGGATGAATAGGGGTGGTGACATTCCGTATTCTTATTCCGTCACCACACGGACAATTTGTGCTACTACAAACATTTTATATGACTGAGGTGGTGGACGATGGATATTTTATTAGATTACGCCTTCCCTCCTACATCTTCCGCATTTTGTGGTAGGCAGTGCACTTACGACTCTTGAATATCACAGGATGTGTTCAAACTCAAACTCAAAATATTTTTATTTTATAACTGTTATCGTAAATTGTTTGTAATCGTCTTTTATGTAGACTCCGAGTCATAGATCAACACACACTGTTTTGTCAAATAGTAAGCAAAATAAATTTAGTAAAAATTGAACTTATACAAAATCTGTGTTATGTCTGTGCGAATCTACAACCGCCCGTTTCCAAGTAGTCGAGTCTTATAAAAACAAAGGGCAAACAAACTCATGGTCATTAATGCATTATCTATCGGATTATAAAGATATAGCACACATTGTTTAAAAACTAGCTTCCTGCACAAAGCGTGCAAAGAGTTGTCTTCAGGTATGTTTAGAGTATTTAATAAACGATTCCCGAGGAATTGAGACTATTCCCACATTAACACAAAAAAAGGTTATTAATTAACTTTAAAAATTATTACTTTTTGAATAACTTTATTGCGATATAAAAATAATATTGAAAAAACTTTTCACCGTAAAAATCAGGCATTTATAATACACAGTTTAAGAAAAATTTAACCAAGAATATCAATTATATTAAAATCGGCCAAAAATGTGTTGCCAATAACCAGTACTAGACCACTCACGGTGTTCGTTATTTCTTTCTGCAAAAGAAAATATTTTACATTTAGTCAAGGTAGTATATGAATATGAATCTATCTCTCTACCAAATTTCATTCAAATCCGTTTAGCCATTCTTGTGTGATCGGGTCACAAAACTTGCATACATCCGTCCACACAAACTTTCTTGTTTTATAATATTAAAAAGATTTATATTCTCGTTCATTATGAAATTGTTGTTCTTACCTCGTAAAGTCTTACAACGTTTGGTACGAAATAATTCAAGAATGCGTTAAGGAAAGAGCCAACGTTTTCATCACCTCCCAGCAACCCGGTGATATGCGACTATAATAAAAAAAAATTAGCATCAAAATTTACAAATATGAAAATGGACACGTTGAACAAATTCATTATGAATGAATGTATTTTTTTTTTTGTTTTAAATCCAAATTTACATGGTTTATTTATTTAGATCTAATTAGATTCTAGTCCAAAGTATTATTATTTTACTTGCTAGCAGCAATAATAGAATATAGATCCAGAGCATTCTAAATTCTTTACTAATTTATAACCTTACGCACTTATGTAAATCGGCGTACCTAATACCCCGGTCATTCTCTACCAACCAAGCCAACCTTTTGTGGTTTAGAAATTTAGTAATGTAGGTGCACTGAGATAACAGTTGTAATCAGTAGTTTTATATTTTTTTATCCAAAAATATACACATAAATACATATAAATACTTTGTGAAAATACTTTGTAGTGCTTTAAAATCTACTAATGGATTATCGAATATGGCATAATATATATATATGTATATATTATATAAAAAAAATGGCATTTTAAGGATGTTTTTTTCGAACATCTGTCACACAACGCCACCTAGTATCGAACTTAACAGAGCTTTTACTATGAAAGCTAGACTGACTGATAGAATACTTATATAATTTTTTTTGTAAATACATACATATTATACATAGAAAACACCCAAACTCCGAAACAAATACTAGCAGATCATACAAACATTTCGTCCGACCTGGAATCGAACCCGAGACCTCAGCACAGCAGTCGCACACTACCAACTGCACCACCAAGGCAGTCTAGTTTAATAAATTACTCTTTTTCTACATTTTCATCTGTCATGTGTAATATTTCTGTATGACAGTTTTTCGAATAGTCAATTTTTACTTTACTTATAAAACTTGTAGCTAAATGTGTTAGGAGCATGGTTCACTTTATTTAATTTAAAGTTTCCAATTCACCCTATTAGTTATACAACATAAGCAAAGCCAACTTATACAAGTAGTACATTAAAATCTTCAAATCATAAGAAAATATACTAGCTGCACACTTTTGCTTAGTCTATTTATATTTGGAAACTAAACAGCTGTGTTATATATCCCATGAGTGAAGTTAAACATTGGAATGGACTCTTAGCCAATAATAATATAATAAATAATTATTGGCTAGTCTTGACAAAGTATTAATGAGTAAAACTGCAATCTCAAAATATTTTTTAGTATATTCAAGTTCGGATGAAATTGAGTCTGTTGCCATCTACCGGTATTTTTAAATACTCATTAAGAAGCTTCCCTCACAGTTTCAGTTTGCTATTCTATGAAATTGATAGGTGCCTCGTAATTTCTTAAGCTTAAAACTTAAATAAATATATATTTCATCGAGTTTTAGAAACTATTCGCTGGGTTTTTTTTATATTTTCTTTCGTCCTGTCGATACTTTTACACCTTAAACTTATAAAGTCCGTTTAGTTCTATAGAGCGTATATTCGATGACAATTGCATTTTTTTTTATAAGAAAACTCCCGCATTAGGAATATATCCTGTGTCGCGGGGGACTTTACAAACATACATAAAGAATACACAGACTCAGAACAAGCCGTCCCATGTGCGGATCGGACCCACAATACTCAGCGTGGCGACCGCTTAAACCACTACGCCATCAGTGAAGTTTTTTTGCAAGATTTCTTAAAATCATACTACTTTATATCACGATAAAACCATTGAGGCGTTGTTGTTGCACGATATCATAATAGTAAGCAAGTACTTACTATTACGATTTAATTATAGTTTCTGTATACGTAAGCTCGATTTGAACTACCACTAATCAATCTACTGGGTACTAAACTTAACTAAACGTCTCTAATATGCCTTATATTTTATTTATTGAAGTCAAATATAATTAAGAAATAATCTTAAAAATTATCACACTTACATCAAACTCCGCTATGGAGAAAATTATTCGAACTTCTTGTAAACGTAAATAAAGTCCTTCACCCTCGCCAAACAGCGTAGCAACTACGTTACCAGAAAGTGCAGGTCTGATAATATTAATTCTGGAAATAAATTCATCATTTTTGGCATTATTTAAAGCAGTCACTCTCTGGTATTTCATTTATTTATTTATTATTTTATTTATTCAAACTTATGTGAAAGCAATTTGTATAAATTTGTTTAAATAATTAAGTCAAATTAAGGCCAGTTCAATATAGAAATAAAACGATAAAAAAGCTTAGGCAACTACTAAAATGAATGTCACCCATTGCCCAAACTATAATTGAAAATTTTAACTATCATAAAGTAGAATCTAAGTTTACAAGTGTCTAATATTGTGGATTAAAGAATCAACTGTAAGTTAATAAAAGAGAGTTAGAGTGTGGCTTTCCAGGCGACAGCCAGCTCAAGTTACAGATATGCGACCCTATTACCCTAATCTATCTATATAAGCAAAATGCCTTTACTTCCATTATCTTCTCTTCTTACCAACTTGTCTTATTCACATTTTTTCATTCTACTTCCTAAAATATTCAGGCAATTGGTTTCCAACCTATTCCGTAAATGAAACTAGAATTGTACACAGCAAAATGTGAGAGTTTTATACCCATCTACCGTTTCTAAAATCCAGACGTGAGTAAATAAATATATTTTTGAAAGTAAATATTCACTTACCTGGCATCACCTCTTCCGAATAGCGTGAAACCACTTATCCACAATCGAAGATCGTACTGACCTATAGACAATTGTTAATTAGGTCTCAATATATCAAATGCACTTACATAGCTAAAAATCTCATAAACACAATATGATAAGCCAAATTACTAGTCTCACCAAAATATGACCTTGACCTATAGATTTCGAAAAACCATGTGGGTGATAAAAAACTAATATTGAATTACTTAAAACGTGAAGACATTCTCTTTATACTGTAATGCCCTGTCAATGAACCATCTATAATAATCGAAAAATAATTAAATTATTATCAATATGGCTTACTGACCAGCTTCTACTTCAAGAACTGGGACCTGGATGTTAAAGTCCAAGGTAAGTCGTAAAGCAATTATTGCCAATTGTACGTTAAGCTCTTCTACTGAGAAAGTGCTTAACTTGCTCACTTTTAAATCATTTAATGAAAGTGTCAACCTGAAATTAGAAATACATAAATTTGCAATAAATAGGGTTACAGAATGTACGATATAGAATATTAAACTTCACCGGAATATATGACTCATATACAATATTAAGAAATATGGGATACCGTCATTATAATAATTGATTACTGTTGAATCTTTTTGGAGATCTAAAGAAGGTTCCTCAAAGAAGTCCAATCAAAGATTACCTACCCATTTAATAAATCTCCATCTGTGTTGATGGACGGTATTTGGAGCGGATCAAGAACAGGAATGACACCCGAACCAGTTAACATTATCTGCCTGAGATCTTCGAGTAATCCCCTCAATGTATTCTCTAGGGCCGCATTTCTAGGCGTAACACCTGTAGGAAAAGAATATTTTGTAACTTAAAGACTGAATTAATATAAATTATACGATAGACTGAATTAATATAAAGAGCCCATTTCTCTTTTTTTCTTTAATAGAACGAATAAGACTGGTGATAATAATCTTACAAATTGACCACCGTATCAGTACCTATATTACAAGTCACAGTTAATTTTAACTAACTTTTAAACTCGGTTTCGCTCACGTGTAAGTCATTATCCGTCCCTCAGTAACGTTTGATTATTTGAAAGGTAGCTTTAATGTCCTTTGCTATATCTCTAGAGACATGCATGACCCATGTACTGATAAAACCTTTTAACATTTAAGAGGAGAGAGAGGCTAGTTTCTCTTGAATGGTTGTCTAACACATTTGTCTTCACTATTCATAAAATAAGTTCGATTTAATTATTGAATAAATTAACTCGTTAATTTATTCAATAATGAAATTATTGTTAATTTATTCAATTAAAAAATAAACGAGTTTCGAATGAAAAACATTAGTTGTGATATTATACTTAATTTTTTTTTGCTATTCCTTGACCTTTCTTAAAAGTCTCTGGTAAAGAATAGTCTCGTTACCAAGAAATTGATAAGGCTCATGTATATAGATGGTCAGACAGGACTAAAGGCTACTTTCTTTGTGTTCCAGGATTGTCATTACAAGATATATTATTTGTTTTTTCATCGAAAGCGACACAAGTCGAAGCGAGTCACAAGCGGTTTGTCGGCCTTTGAGGAAGGAGTATGCTCTTTTCTTGAAGGTTTGAAGGTCCGGAAAAACCACAGACGATGGAACCAAGTGGTGGGGATGAAAATTTTGCCGTGTGGAACGATGGCGGAAGGTTGCGCCCGATATTGGTCTGAACAATTCCTCCTTTTCCAAAAAAGATATATTAATTACGTTCTAATCACCTAACTAAGGACCCGCGAAGGTTAATAACGTTATCAACTTAATAAACAGTAAATAGCGACAAAGTTTATCACGGTGATAGCCAATCACGTCGAATCATTTATGACTGAAGTGTTGAGTTATCATTTAATCATCGTTCGTTAGTGATATATATGTGTACATACTACTTTTCAAAATAGATTACATTGTGCAATTCATAAGCGCCATTGTTCTGTCCTCCTAAAGTATCTTCTAGGCACTTTTTGGAATTTCAAAATATACATCTTACATTTATAAATAAAATGACTATCTAATAACTGTCACGCAAAAAAATGTTGGCGCGTGTATCGCGTATGTAAAAGATCGCGAGTGCTATAATGACGTTTGAAAATCAGTTCTCTTAATTAAAAATTAGGTTTTATATTGATACGTTCACTTTAAAATGGCTGTTCACTTTAAAGTGGCTGCTCTACTACGAGTAATAGAGCATAAATTAGATCTTACAACTTCTGCTTCAGGCTTCGTTTTTTACGTCAACGTATTTTGTTCTTAATAAAACAATGTAAACCTTTACTGAAAAGTGTCTCTTACTAACTTGTGAACAGTTAACTGTAGTATAGAATTAAGAATTACACAAACTTACCAACACGTAGCAACGTCTCTTCGATAGCTTTGTTGTTAACAGGGGATGACAACGTCAGTCCCAAAATGGACAGCAATACTAGTGACAACTGCATATCTGGACCTGAATTGATCTATAATCAATTATCGTGTACTAAAAAATTACTAGTGCTATGGACGCAAAGTATATCAGAGTAAAAAAAGTGTATTCAATAACTACCATAGACTTTTTTCACTTCAAAAACGGTTTTATGTCAAGTGTCTAAAGTTTATCATTATTAACTGTTCTATTAATGTCATAATACGCATATTTAACTGTTATTAGTATGATGTTTATAATTAATAGGGCTTTAAAACAGATATTAAGAGAAGAATTATACATCACATAATAATATTTCAACTTAGTTCCAAAGTCTTACAGTTTGTAGGCAATTAAAACTGTTTATCTCATCATAGGTGTAATATACCAAGCTAGGATAAGCGCTAATAACTTTTTAAATATATAAATCAAAATAATATTAAGCACAAAAATAAAAATATGCAATTAACTGACCTCTCTAGCCAATGGACAGCCTGGAATGTTAATCAAATCACTTGTCTAACGATAAATATGTGAGTTATTGTTGACATATGCGATTAAATTTGTATTTATCTAAAAATCTGATAATGATTGCTATTTTAATCAATAATTATCAGATTTTTTAAAATTTCGTTCGGTAATAGAAACTATAACAAACAATAATGTAAGTACTTAATAGTTCTATGGAATTAAACTCTACACGCTTTAAACACCAAAAGACATGGAGAATGTGCCATGTTCGTGAAACATATTACACCAAGTGTAGCGCCGTATTCTATGATTGGTGACCCCATACGTTTGACAGACAGTAAACTTTTTTCCCATTGTGTACTAGACAAGGACCCTTTTATATCGTGTACCTATCGTGATTTGCACGCCCATATCATCTCGGATATCTCAACGGGTGGAGTGGACTCGGAAATAATCTTCGTTCGAGCCTAAATTCGCAACATTAAACCGGGAGGAAGGTCTGTTTTTTCCTCCACTCGTTTAAGTCAATAGCGAGCGTAATTCTGATTGACTCGATTCCAAGAAAGACCAAGAAGAAAAAAAATATCGATTTAGATAACGTTGTGTAATAATTTCCCCAACATTAATTATTATTATATATTATCATTTACTTTGAACTATCTCAAGAGCAAGTCTTACATTACATTATTTTCTTTAAGCGTAATGCAAATAGTGGATAATCGTAACACAATACCACTTAATGAGCTCTCTTAACGCGAAAGAGATCAACTAATCTTTATTCTATTGTTTTACGTTAGTAATTCTTAAGATAACGCAATTGTACACAATTGCGTTATCTTAAGAATTACTAACCTGCAGTTACTGTTATTAATATTATTATTTTTTTAAATATATAATATGCTCTAAAAAAATGCCTGTCAATTGTTTTGTAAGCGCTGTAAAATTTTCATTGATTAAAATTGACTACTTTACTTTGTAAGGAACTCCGTTACTCACTAAAAACTCCGTTCATTCCTGTCTCTGTTTGAATACTCTTTGCGAGCGTCGATTTTGGGAATAGCGCAATGTAAAACCATGCAAAAGGTTTTGGCTAGTTTCCTTTAATGCCAGTCGCCAGCCTTACATTTGAGAAACTAAGTGTTTTCAGATGAGAAAAGAAATCAGGTGAGTTGAGTTAGGGTAATCGGATAGCACGAATGGTATCTTCTTTTTTTACATGTGGAAATCTCCTCGGGCCGGTTCCTCGTATGTGGTGTGTCGGAATCGAACCGACTAAAACCACACGGTCTGCCACTCCGAAATGAAAAGGGTGTGGGAACTGCCATTATTAAGACATCCTTACCCCTCCTAGCGCCTGCCCGCAGCAGCGCGGGCACCACTTTTACACCACCAGGGTAAGGAATACTGCCAGACACGAATAGGAAAATTGAATTGAGACCGCAGTAGCTCGAATAGACCAGTGTTCTGTCATACTACTGCATGTGCTAAACAATAATACAGCCTGCTCGATGAAAAGCGAAAGGATCGTACTTTATATGAGTTTCAGATGTTCATGGGTGGAATAACTCACCAGCCACCAGGTGAACCATCTACTTGTTTGCCTCGGTACATCAAGAATAACGAAGACATATTTTTTTACATAAATTTATTGCAATAGAAAAATAACACTCTTAAACCTTTTGCATTACATCGCATTATTACATAAAATACTGAAAGGAATCAGCCAAGAATCTCTTTTAGATCCAAATCTTCCAAAATTTTGTTGCCGATAAGGTGCGCTTGTTCACTCGCTACCTTTGATATTTGTTCCTGTAAATTTAAACAACCATAACCACTAAATTTATATTTTAAAAATAGGTTGAAATTAAACTAGGAATGCTTAAAAACTTTTCATTTAAATATTTTGTGCGAATGAAATAGCATTCATAAAGTGAAAATTTATCACTTATTTGTCGACAAACTCTAACCACTGAACTAATTTTGCTCTTTTTTTTCATAAAAGCTAAAAGCTAATATAATATCATCATCAGCAACAGCCTTTAACAGTCCACTGCTGGACATACTTAAGCCGCCTCTACCCAGAAAAGAGGCCTTGGCCTGCTATACCACGCTGGCCAGACGGGTTGGTATAGGGTTTGTGTCAAGTTTTGCTTCTCTCTGCAGTGCTGTTGTTCTGCGTAGTTTTTTCCCTTTTTCGGCTCTCACGACACCCACGGGATGAATAGGGGTGGTGACACTCTGTATTCTTAATCCGTCACCACACGGACACACTATAGTAATAATTAAAAGTAAACGATTGATAAGTCTTAAATACAGCCAAGATGCGAGACAATGTTTAAAGTAAATCATCGCGGTACAAAGGTACCGCGATGATTTACTTTAAACATTGTCTCGTTTAAACATACATTCAGTTCTACTAAAGAGTAGAACTGAATGTATAACGAAACTCTCATAGTATTATTACAATCTATTTTAAACTTTAAACTCTTCTATCGGATTTAGGAGAAAAATCCTCCCACACTAAATTACCTACTAAAAACCATGTATTTCATGTTTGTACCATTAGCGGAATTGCAAGAAGTATTTAATGTAAAAGCTTTGCGACTATCATTCTTGCGGATAAAAAATTAAAACTCTATGTAAAATTAACAACTAAAAACGTGCGTTTTATTAGTTTTTAATTCAAGATTATTATTTTAAAAGATCAAGCAGGTTATCATCGGCCTGCTCTTTTCCTATGCCTGCCAGTTCATTAATGGTATAATATTAGATGCAATAAAGGACGTAAATAAATTAAAATAAAATAGAACAGAAACAGCCCGTAGTCGCGAACCTGTAAGTCCCTGATTGAAAAATAACTTAAACATGCCTACAATATTCTCAGTTCGGAAAAATGTTTTCAAAACTAAAAATCATTATGGAGTAATTAAAACTCTCACAATCAAATGAGTTAACGTTTAATTATGTTCAACATCATAACTGTCCGTGTGGTGGCGAATTAAGAATACGCAGTGTCGCCGCCCCAATTCATACTGTGGGTGTCGTAAGAGCCGACTAAGGGATCAAACTCCACAGGACAACATCACTGCAAAGAAAAGGAAAACTTGTCAGAAACCCTATACCAACCCGTCTCGCCAGGGAGGTTCAGTAGTCCCACACGGGGAGGGGTCGTCTACCTGTTGTTGTAGATGGCCCGAGGTATGTCGGGGCACCAGGGACTTCCTTTCTAGGGTATACCTGGTTCCCTGGCTATTAGTACCCGAGACGGCGTGCGGTTTTAGTCGGTTCGAGTCCGACATGCCACCGATAGGTGATATCCGAGGGGATTTCCGAACGGAAAAAAAAGGGTGTTTTAGTAGGTAAAAAAACATTCTTTCTAAGGAGAGGGCCTATATCCAACAGTGGACTTTTAAAAGCTGTTGGTGATGATGTCATCAAACAACTATTTATTTAATAGTCAAAATGTTTTAATTTCAAGCTTAAAGCCCTAAACTCTGTGGTATTTTCGGTTAAACAGCCATGTGTTGTATGTATTGATCTTGCAACTATTAAACAAATTTAGCCGTCGTTCATACCTCATAAAGTTTAACCGCTTCTGGTACGAAGTGCTTCAAGTATGTATTTATGGTATCGCTTACATCCTCGTCTCCAATAAACAATCCGTTGATATTCGGCTGCAATATCAAAATAATATACATAACTATATTATACCTGCGATGCCCAACTTGTTGCTCGCAAGCTGTCACTTTTCTTCTATACCTATAAAGCAGAAATTGACAGTCTGATTCACTGACTGATCAACAACTGAAACCGCTGACTACAGAAGTATTCATTGTATCCTCTACGATGTCTGATACGGACGAAGTCGCAAAAGCTAGTTGTGGATAAAAAATGAAGTTGACAACAGATATGCAGAATATCATGAACACCAATAGTTCAATTGAGGATCTATATGGTATAATAAAAACATTTGTAAGGGTTTCATTTTTCCAAAATATCAATGATGTAAACTTACATGGAACTCCTCTAGTGAAAGTTTTATATGAACTTCCTCTAAATGTAAATGAAGAGAAGGAAATCCAACAATGAGCTTCGCAACTATGTGACCAGAAATTCTTGGCTTAATTAGAAAAATCCTGAAAATGTAATTTAATCATCGTTTTTAAAACAGATTAAGAGAAGTTAATGCTACAATAACTCATCATACGTATGAATATACTTTTAGTTACTATTTCTATGTAGAATGTAGAAAATATTGACAGCATACTGGCTTTTGACAGCCGGCTTTTGATCGGGTTAAAAAATAGCCTATGTTACTCGCTGATAATCTAGTTTGCATTGATGAAAGATTTTTTTAAATCGGCTTAGTTGTTTAGGGGTGAAAGCATATCAATCCAACAAAAAGACAAACAAACAAACTCATCATAATCAATCATCAACAGCCTTTACTAGTCCACTGCTGGACATAGGCCTCTCCTTAGAAAGGAGATTTTGGCCTACTATACCACGCTGGCCAGACGGGTTGGTATAGGGTTTTTGTCAAGTTTTCCTTCTCTCTGCAGTGATGTTGTCCTGTGTAGTTTACTCCCTTAGTCGCCTTTTACCTCACCCACGGGATGAATAGGGGTGGTGACACTGTATTCTTAATCCGTCACCACCAACAACAAACTCATTTTCACATTAATAATTTAAGTATGGATATATAGCACAGTTCTGTCCTTATTAACTCGAGGATTAATGAGATTGATAGATACGTATTACATAACTTAGTCCAATTTACACTTTTAACAAAATCAATACAAAAAGTGCAGGCAATTGAAAGAAAGAATGTTACAAATCAAAAAGTTACTTCGGAAAGCATTATTTTTCTTTTGACTGGAAAATCCCTTCAGATCTCCGGCTCCTTGGGGATACATTAGCCAGGAATATGTGGTGTTTCCACTAAAAACTATCCTGACAACCGGCCTTATGCGCCCCATTCTAGGGCGGACCCGGGCCATGTGATTTCAGGTCCCCCAGATCGACGCCGCACCTAACTAGACCCTATCCCAAGAGTTCACTTACACAATGTTAGCTGATTAAATGTTTTTGTTTACACACAATGAAATCACCTGTGACATTTAAGTGAAAGAATAAAAGAAAAAAGAACAAGTATATAAATAATTAAAAAAGTATACATGGTGTAAGGGACGTCGTAACGAATACTGAAAAAGTATATTCAGACCATCGTTCTGACTTGAAAATCATTGGAATTTTCTAAATCAGCTGTCAAAGGTCATGGTCATTCCCGTAGGTATCGCACAAAAGTAATAACTATATGTGTTCCGTGCAAACAGGCTACGCACACTAACACAAAATGACGGCCAGAGGGGAGGCTGTTTGATTAATTACATTGTAGTTTTTTGGTATTTCTTAATTTTTTCCGGTAAACTCAGTCTGTCTACTCATTTTCATATCATTTTTCAGAATGTTTAACCACAACCAGGTCTGAATACACTATTTCAGTATTCGGTACGATGTCCCTTACACCTTGTATATGTACCTACATGTATAATCATGTATACTCACTTGGCGTCACCTTTGCCGGACAGCAAGATATCGTCTAGCGTCAAATGCAACTCGTACTGACCTGCAAACAATAATCAGATTTAAAGTAACACATATTAGGGACAAAACTCGATGGATGACGAACCCCAAAATGATTTTAAGTAACAAAAAAATACCCATAAATTGGCGGGTATTGCGGTCTCTATCCTGTTAAAATATACTTAATTAGTTATGTTAATTAGTTAAATATACTTAATATACTTAATTAATTAGTTATATATAATAATGTTTATATAATAATATACCTCACATATCTCACACACGGCTCTCTGATTCCACCCTAGGTAGAACCTGTGCTATGGTAACCAGACTGCTGATAAACAAACTAATATATTTTTAAATACATACGAGTACATATTGGAGATAAATTACACCCAGACACAGAACAAAGGACAGTGCTCATCACGCAATATATGTTCTGGATGGAAATCGATCGAGCGACTTAGCAGTCAGAGTCACTAAACATTAGAGCAACAGGCCCGTACGAGTATATATTGGATATGTTATGTAAACATCAAATGTTACAAATAATTATCAGTAGTTGTTTATTATACAGTTATTTACGACAAAATACAGTAAAAATCACTTCACGCTGTTAAAAAAACACACAAAAAAGATCTCTTTAGTTTGGTATGCGTTTATTGTGCCCTTTTTTTAGTTTTTAGACAACATATTTAGTAACATATCTCCCTTGTCTGTTCGTGTAGCCCATAATTAATAGTTTTAACCTATGAAATTGGATATGTTTAAAACCAGCGTTTGCAGATCTAATTATCTGTGGATTGGCGCGCAATTCGAAATACAATAACATTTATTCAAAAGCTAGGTTATGTTTTTAAATACATACAATGTTCGAATATGAATTCCTATGTTGTAAACATCGTTGCGCAAACAACAGAAGACATTAACGACGTGTACGGGCCTCACACTGCTTGCATAAATGCGGTTCATTATTGGTTCAATCGTTTTAGGTCTAGAAATATTAAAAAGTATGGTATCATCTAGACACATGAAATAATAAATCCCCGTTGGAAGCCTTGATATATTATCCACTTTATAGTTATTTTATTTTTTTATGTTTCAATAAACCTCAATATTATTATTTTATTATTACGAGTGTATTTGCTATTGTTAAATCTTTTAGTGATGGGTAGCGTCAATTGTTTAAATATTTACTATCAAAACGTTCGCGGGTTGAAAACTAAAACGGATTCCTTCTATCGTCAAGCTTTACTGAATTCATATGACATAATTGTAATAACAGAGTCATGGTTGATAAACGGTATTCGGGCACCGGAAATCTTCGATGACCGGTATGCTGTGTGACGTCGAGACCGTGATTATGCACTCACTGGGCAGTCCTGAGGAGGAGGTGTAGTGATTGCAACGCGTAGGGATCTACCAGTTTCTTCACAGCCAAAACTTCTTCATTTATTAAAATATACCTAAATAAATCTAACTCGGGCGACTGTGTGAACCTATACATTTGCGTACTTTACTCGTATTTATGTAATCCAAATAAAGGCCTGTCATTCTCCTCACACCTTAGTAATTTTCTCGCAAAGTGGAATGACATAATATTAAATAATATAACTGACCGATTTCTTGTTATCGGTGATTTTAATTTGCCTGGTATGTCGTGGACTCCATCAGGTAATGATATGCCGCTTTTACCAGTTAACCTCTCCTCAGCAGATGAGTATTTGTTCGCTGACGAAATGTTCACAATGGGCCTGGGACAGTATGGACATGGGTATGATAGGTTTGTGTACGCGTATTTGATGTTCTAACTACAACCTAACCTTCTTTTTTTTTTAACGTGTGGAAATCTCCTCGGACCGTCACCCCGCCGAGGCTCTCGTTCGGCGGGGCGGTGTGTCGGACTCGAACCGACTAAAAAAAACAGTGTGCACTCTTTGCGCTTCCAGTTTAGGAGGGGTCCAGGTAGTTATCGCCTTCTAGACCCCTCCCAGCGCCGGCCCGCTCCTGTTGCGGGCTCCGTCTCAAAATTTTCCACTCTTCAGGCGACGTCCGGCACACGCGGACGCCGCCCCCTCGCGGCTGGCCAAACTAATGCTGGTGGAGGGGAGAACCCATCCCGTCCACCCGCGGCCACACTCAGTGTCGGACTCGGACCGACTAAAACCACACGGTGTGCCACTCTGCGCCTGTAACTGCTGTTGTTAAGACATCCGGACCCCTCCTAGCGCCAGCCCGCTCCTGGTGCGGGCTCCGTCTCGGCCACACTCAGGGCGGTATGAGGCTGTGATAGGCGGGCCTCCGCCGCCCGGTTCGCCGGCGGCGGATCGGGTCCGAGTGGAGGTCGTCCTACTAACTACAACCTAACCTTTTTTTTTTTTTTTTTTTTTTTACGTGTGGAAATCCCCTCGGACCGTCACCCCGCCGGGGCTCTCGTTCGGCGGGGCGGTGTGTCGGACTCGAACCGACTAAAACCACACGGTGTGCCCTCTTTGCGCTTTCAGTTTAGGAGGAGTCCAGGTAGTTATCGCCTTCTGGACCCCTCCCAGCGCCAGCCCGCTCCTGGTGCGGGCTCCGTCTCCAGGACCTCTCTTTTTAGGCGGCGTCCGGCACACGCGGACGCCGCCCCCTCGCGGCTGGCCAACTAATGCGGGTGGAGGGGAGAACCCATCCCGTCCACCCGCGGCCACACTCAGGGCGGCATGAGGCTTAAGTGAGCGCGCCTCCGCCGCCCGGTTCGCCGGCGGCGGATCAGGTCCGAGTGGAGGTCGTCCTCCCGGGCCTTCTCCGCCGCCTCCTTCTGCGAGATTACCTCCTCGCAGAAGGTTGCGACCGCGGTAAAACAACTGTCGCTACCGGCCATGGAGCGAATTACGGCCGGTAGCGAGAGATCCACTCCGATGACTGCAGTGAGGGCCCGGCGCTGCGTCGCCCATGCGGGGCAAACCGCCAGCGTGTGCTGGGCCGAATCCTCACTGCAGTCGCAGTGGTGGCAGGCGGGACTCGATTCCCTCCTAGCGACCGAGTACAGGTACTTTCCGAAGCAACCGTGCCCGGAAAGCACCTGCGTCAGCCGGAAGGAAAGGGTCCCGTGCTGCCGCCCTGCCCACTCGGCGATGACCGGCTGGAGAGCCTCCACGGCGGCGAAGCCAGCGCGTGGAGTCTCCAGCCGGAACGACCATCTCACCATAGTGGCTCGGCGAGCGGCTTCGCGCCACTCGCGCACGTCTTCGGGCGGAGGGCGAAATCCGCTCTCCGCCCGGAAGTCAGCCACTCGCCGATAAACTTCGGCGAGCACTTCCGCCTCCAAATCCCACGGGGGTGTTCCGGCCAAGGCGCAAGCCGCCTCGGTGGACACCGTGCGGTATCCGCGTATGGCTCTGACCGCCAATATCCTCTGGGGGCGCCAGAGGCGCGCCCTATTCGGGGCGGTCAGAGCCGCCACCCACACCGAACTACAACCTAACCTAACCTAACCAAAATGCACCTACTTGACTGGTAGAGAATGCCTTAGGCATTAAGTCCGCCAATGCACCAAAAGTGCATGATCTATAAGTAAATAAATAAATATATATATATACCCATTCTCGAATGCCCACCCTGAGTCAGATACTTATGTAAGGGTGATTTCAAATCATTGAATAACAGAATAAATGCTATTTATTGGGACTGTGTGTTAAAATAAATATAAAGCACAAAAACTCGAACGTAAGGGTAAGTACCCAATATGGTATTGCACCATATTGGGTACTTACCCTTACGTTCTAGTTTTTGTTGTACTCTTCGTTAATAAGAAACTCTTAAAGAAAAATACAAATATATAAAAGGCTTAGAAGCTACGGCAATTTCAATTTGTTACACTAACTATATTAAAAATACCGAATCATCCATTAAAAATAATCGTAAATGTTTCTGGTCTTACGTCAAGAATTGATATAATTCGCGCTCCATTCCTAGTTCACTACTTGATCGCGATAAAAATGAACTACCAACAAGAGAATCCATCTGTGAGACGTTTTCCTCTTACTTAAAATCAACTTTTCTTAACCATGACACTCGTAACTCAGACAGCCTGATTGCATCTCTTTCTAGTTAAACAATTTCTATGTGTGTCTCTGATATCTGTCAAATAGAAGTAAAAATTGATGCTGTGACCAACTTTCTCAAGAAGCTAGATATTCCAAAGGGTCCAATGTAAACGAAGTTACTATGCTTCGCAGATGACATGAAAGTTCTAAGACCAGTATCTTCAACTGAAGATATGTTGGCACTTCAAGATTATCTGAACCGGCTACAAGAGTACTGCTATCTAAATAAGCTTTATCTTAACCTTGCTATGCTTGCTATTGCTCTCCGTGTAGTGACGAATTAAGAATGTCACTACCCCAATTCATCCCGTGGGTGTCGTATGAGCCGACTAAGGGCGCAAAACAACGCAGGACACCAGCACTGCAAAAAGAAGGAAAACTAGACACAAACCCTATACCAACCCGTCTGGCCAGCGTGGTATAGTAGGCCAAAACCTCCTTTCTAAGGAGGCCTATGTCGAGTAGTGGACTATTAAAGGCTGTTGATGTTGTTAACCTTGCTAAATGCTCAATTGTAACATATACTAAGAATTAAAACGTTTTGCACACTTCTTACACTTTGAGGGGTCATACTCTCCAAAAAAATAAAACCATCAGAGATCTAGAGTGCACCATGATTCTAAGTTGCTCTTTGACACACACATTGACTCTATTGTAAAAAAGGCATCTAAATCGCTTGGTTTTATAATGCGTGTAGGCAAAACCTTTACAGAAGTCAAAACTCTTAAATTCTATACCTATGCATCTATGTCAGAAGTCATTTAGAGTATGTGTCCCAAATATGGAACCCGTGCTATGTAGTTTACATAAATCGAATCAAAAACATACAAAAACGTTTTATTAAATATGTATGTTATTACAAAAGAATTCCGTACTACTCCAATGACTATCACCGATTGTGTAAGAGGTTTCACCTCCTTCCGCTTATGGATCGACGTGAAATAGCGGACTTTGCATTTCTTGTCAAAGTCGTTAACAACAATATTGATTTGTTTGAGAAAATATCTTTGAACATGCCATCTAAGTCACTTCTCTTTATTCCTCTTCACGCTCCTCATGCTAAAACAAATTACCGACAGAACAGCTACTTGGTGCGCGCAATCAGAATCTTTAATAAGGTATGTTAACACCATGATATTGATCCCTTTTTTTATTTGTGTGTCCTCGGGAGAAGTTAACCCTTAATTTTTTTTTAAATTAGATGTAATGTAAGATAATGATATCGTTTACTATTATTCGAATCATCGCTCATATTTTTAAAAAGCTTTGTTGTTGCTATGTTGACTAGCCTACATCGCTAACCTACAAGATTTATGGCTAGAAGCTCTCTGTCACCCACCATACTCACCGGACCTTGTCCCTTTTTCAAAATTTGGTCAATTTTTTAAGTGGGAAAAAATTCAACTACCGAGAGGCAGTACAAAACGCTTTCACTGACTGCATCGCCTCTCATCCAGCAGGTTTCTACAGTAAAAGGAAAAACAAACTGCCAATAAAATGGCAGGATTTTATAGATAATTTGGGCCAGTACTTTGATTATCCAAAATAAAAAAATTACCAATATTGTATAGATTAAAAACAAAATCATACCAATCTCCAACTACATAGGTAAAAACTTAAATATTAGCTAGCGCAACATTGGCTCTGCAGTTCTTCTTTAGTCTACACTAAAGGAGATTAAATTTCTATCATTATTATATATATCACCCTTGCCGATTTCGGCTACGGTGACTGCTGTCTGTTTATTGGTGGGCTAAGATGATAAGCCCTGTCATGTACGTAACTTAAGTTCAAATGTACGCGAACATATGCGACATCTAAGGACATCATGGATAAAATTATAAAATAATCGCGCTTCTAATCTAACTCTGTTTTGTTCTGCTCTTCAAAAGCGTCATCATTTTAACACTGAGGACTTAAATCGTAATTATTAAAAAATAATACTGACTAGCTTCAAATTCGATAACAGGCACCTCAAAGTCGAATGCTACTTGATATCCCAACCCGATTCCATGAACTTTCAGCGATTGTACTAAGAAGGTACTCAGTTTGCTTATCTTTACATCATTCAGCAATAGTGACAATCTGCAAATAAAGTTTCATGTTAATATAAATTGCTCTGTAATTATCCATACATACTTAAATTAAATATATGACATTCAGTTTATTTGTTTGTTTTTACGCTTTCCCGCCTAAACCACTAAACCGATTTTAAAAATTATTTCACTTAAATTGCGGACAAGAGCTAGTATTATTTAAATAAAGATAAGCATACCCAGGTATAAATTTTTCATTTAAATATATAGATGATGCTTGAAACGGATCGAGAACTGGAATAGTATCACCACCAGATAACATCTTTTGCCTTAGTCCCTCAATAAATTCTCTCAACAGATTCTCAAGAGCATCGTTCCTGATAATATCTGGAAAATATTGGCTACATTATAACTTAAACACAACAAATGGATGGAAAGCCGTTAAATACGGGCAGCAGTGGACCGGTTATTATGGCGGACCTTGGGTGAGGCCTTTGTCCAGCAGTGGACGTCTTTCGACAGAGATGATGATGGTGATAGAACAAGAACAACAACAAACAAATATTTCGGACATCGGACACACAACGCCATCTAGTTTCAAACTAAGCAGAGCTTGTAATATGAAAGCTAGATTGACTGATAGAAATACAAACATTTGGGCCGACCCGGAAATCTTACCCGAAACCTCAGCACAGCAGTCGCATACGATTCCACTGAAATTAAAAACTATGCAAACTCACCACCATGTAGGAATGGCTCTTCTATTTTACTAGCACCAACAGGTGACGATGCTGTTAGGCCCAAAACGGACAGTAATACTACGGACCACTGCATATTTGCAACCCTGAAATTAGCAGCTGGTTATTTTTGTGGAGAACCATGCTTCGGTAAAAATAGGCCGACTAGTCCCGAGTGATACCACGACCTCACAGAAATCATTAGTTTTCACCGAGTGAGGTTACCGGAGTTCAAACCCCCTCACCCTGGGTTTGAGGAAGGGGAGAAAAGGAGACAACGTGCTAGTGATTCTGATGAAGGCCGCGGGAAGCCGTTGGATGCGCGCAACACGGGACCGGTTGTTGTGGCGAATACTGTAGAATTCAACTCCCACATTTTGCTGATTATAAAGTGAAGTGAATGATTATTTAAAGAGTTGTCAATAGAAAAAAGATATGACTAATATTGATTAAAAGAATCAAACATCATGAACGAAATTGAAAATTGTCAAAGAAAGAATCTAAACCTTTACAAGTCGAAGATTTACTTACAAAAGCCGCCTAAGTCTAATACCTTCGTAAGTCTAAAACTCTATAACTGGAATTATAATTATGGTGTCTCGGTTTACAGAGGTTCCAATGTTTAAAGTTCTGATAAAGGACATTTATTATTTTCCTTCATAATTAAATTGTATCTGAATACAATATATATGATAAAGCTAGTGTTTTTTTTAAATTATTATACAAGAATTAAAATTTTACAAAAAATCATAAAAAAATTACAATACACTGAAATTATAATACATGAATATAAATTATATTTTTACTACATCGTGTGTAGATTAAATCTCAAACAAAAAATCTGAAGATATCGAGTTAGCACATCGCGTCGTGTATAGCCGAGCGCATCACCCGCCCCGCGTCCCGCAAACCATCGGGAGCCCTTCCGATGGTTTGCGTTGCGTGCGTTATGTAGGTATTAATCTAATTTTACTTTGTATTTACGTTTAAATGAACAGTCACAAATGATTGTAAATACTAATATAATAACTCAAATTTAAGTAAAAAGAAAATTACTTACTTTTCTAGTGTCTCGAGCCAATTGACAATCTGAAACATAAAACTAACCGGCTCGGTTTACCTTATATTATATCTATCCTGTTATTGACACAGTGTTAAGATTATATCTATCTGGAACATCTTATTAATAGTGATTGCTTGTATTGATTATTGAAGTGGTTATATATATATGAAACAAAGTAATATTATATACATATGCAGACTTTTGCAAAAATCAACAAATAAGTGAGTTATTTAATTAATACTATAAAGCTTTGGTCCGTGACTCCGCCCGCGTGTATGTCGTTTATCACTATATAAAGTAGCCTATATCGTTTCTCAATAATAAAAGTATCCCCATGCCAAATTTCATTAAAATCGGTTATGCCATTTAGCCGTGAAAACGTAACAGACAAAATGTCAAAGTTACTTTCACATTTATAATAGTAGTTACGGGCTTTAGTGAAGCTAGATGGTTTTGCAACCTAAACTGACCTCAGATATATGTGAGTATTTTATGCTAGTTTAACTTGCTACGAGTACCGTCATGCGTTATTTAATGCGAATATTGACAGACAAATAGACAGAAGGACAATGAATGAATTCTTTCAAGGATTCCTTTTCAATTTAAAGATAAATAAACTACTATTCTTTCACAACGCTTGACGCTTTGCTAATATTGGATGAGGTTTTCTTACTATGTATGTTGTAGTTGTTGCAACATACATTGCACCTTAGTTGCTGGATTTTGTAGTAGGTTGGAAACCCGTGTGACAGGCTCTCTCCTTAGTAAAACAGAAGTATACAACTAGATTTTAAGGAACGTGACACGATAATTTGTATTTGACATATATTAATTAGAAAGGTAAGAAACATCAACATAAATTAGGGTGTGTGAGAGTCGGTGTGTGTGTGTGTGTGTGTTTGTGGGTGTATTTGTGTGTGTGCGTGACAGTACTTAGTTTAAAGTGCAAATTATCACCTGATGGAAAGTGACTACCGCCGCCCATGAACGCCTGCAACTCAGGAGTCACAAGCGCGTTGCCGGCCTTTTAGTTCTTGTTCCACAGATTGGCTGTGCAAGGCAAAAAGTGACTTGAAAAGCGCACAGTGGTAGAGTGCTAATTACCGTAGTGATGGGGATGAAAATTTTGCCGTGTAGAACAATGGCACTCTCCATGATATATAAGATAGAGAATGCAGAGCGAAGCTACGTCTCTACGTAACGCCAAGGGATTGAGCCGATCAGAGATCTTTGGGCTATCGTCGATTCAAATAGCTCTTCGTTAGATGCGGTCTAGGGGGAGAAGCTGGGGTGCCCCTGCTTAGATATTAGAACAGTATTCCAAATGCGGCTGGTCTTGTGCCTTATAGAGCTGAACGCGGTGAGCCCGAATGAATGTTCAGCACACCGAGCTTCTTCGAGGACAATTTGACCTGGACTTGAAACTGGACTTCGCTCGATATGTAGATGCCTAGGATTCCGATACTGCCTGAGACAGTTACGGAGGTGCTCTCAAACCAAGGTGATACGTCTAACGGTATGTTATTTAAGGTGATCGCGCAAACCTGTGTATTTTTTGGGTTAAAGTGGAGTAGATTCAGTCGACCCCAATCTCGTCGAAAAAGGCGCGCTGGAACCGGTGCCAACGCCGGAGCACACGTATTCAACACGATCAGAGAGATCCCATCGGGCCCACTCGACTTATGAATGTCCCACGATCTGCTGTAGCAATCTGTAGAATCTGTAGCCATTCGGACGTGGCCCATTAGTCGGTCAGTTACCTGTAAAGTTATGTATAGACGTGCCACACACGGAGCCACCAGACGGAAGGGTCTCGTCCTTCAAGAGTGCCGAGTCGGCGAGAACTGATATAATCTCTAACGTACACGGTGCTGGTGTCTGCAAAGAGAACGAAAACTTGATGATGGTGTGTAGTTTTTTTCCTTAGTCGACTCTTAGGACACCCACGGGATGAACAGGGGTGTCCTAAGACACTTCGTATTCTTAATCCGTCACCACACGGATTTCTTAAGATGGAGGGACAAAACTGATATACTGCCTACTGGAATCTTCCACCTAATAAGTGTTTTTATACGTTAATTCTACCTTTGATTTCCACTGACCGAAACATTAATCTTTTTAAAAATATAGCCTATACAAGTCAGGTGTACAACGCTATCTATTGGGGTTAAACAGGTATATTATATACGTTGTTAATATTTATTAAAACACGGCTAAAAACAACATGTGTAGGAGCCTTTTAACAAAATAGTCACCCTTTCAAACAGGGAAGCACCACGGCCACAAAATATTATGGGTCCTCAGTGAGCTATATTTAATTTCTAAAATATGTATGGCAGAATCGCCTAAACGCACGGAAATCCACCCTAGTTGACACAAGATCCCCATAGTATACCGCCTCAGATGTACCTACAGGCATTCAGCATTATATTACGTTCATTATACCAAAGACTACATTCCCAGAGGCTACATTCCCAGAGCAGACTGTTCACAGTTAAATTTAGGAGTTGAGCATTGACACAATGGTGTCTCGACAAATTTAAATGAATACAGCTTGCTCTTAAAGTTACCATGTACTGTAAGAAATTGAGCGACACAGTGATCCACCTCAAGCCAAGTTATCAACAACCGGTCACGAACTGATGGAAGGAGCTGGTAAAGGTGGCGCCCGTTAGATGATTCGTCCCAGCGTCGAGATCGACCGGAAGCACACCCGCCAGCACCGGCAAAGCCTCAGTGCTAACCGTCCTATATGCTATGCCCATTGGACTTGTTCATACAGCAGGAGGCAGCCATGGCAATCATTAGACTCAGACACCTAAGTCTGTGGCACAAAGGCGAGGGATCGCACTCCAAATTTTGGATCAATTGGTGAAATATGAGCCACTGTTAGCAGCCCCGTGCGACGGGATCCCAAAATACCACACCACACATTCTTACACGAGAAAATGACTGAGATCAATCTGGCATAAACGAAGTCCGAATTTACACGGACTGTTTCAAGACTGGGTAAGGAACCGGAGTTTTCTCACAAGACCTAAACATAAATATATCACTAGCGTTAGGCCAACACAGTTCCATATTCTAATACGAATTGGTGGCAATAACTTACACCGCCACAACGGCCATATCAAAGGGTATAAAGGACTGTCATCCGTATACTGTCAGACAGCATGGCCGTCCTAAAGTCACTGGGGGGCAACAAAATAACCTCTGGTATTGTCTTCGAATGCCATCAAGCAATTGGAGCAGCTTGAAACAACAAATAGGGTGCTTCTTCAATGGATTAAAGGGCATAGTAATTCGCACGGGAATAACGCTGCAGATGACTTAGCAAGGAGGGGCTCAGCAACCCCAGACGCCAGCCCAACCACACTCCTGCCACTGTCTTTTAACCAACTTCGATCTTGGGTTAGACAGCGTACTCGTGAAGCGCACAACCGAAGGTGGAAAAACTCACTCAGGAATCACAACAGGACACCTAGCCTTGAACCGACAACTATTCATCATTAATGCGACGGACAGTCCTTTTTGCAGAGGATGCCTGAAAGCAGAAGAAGCGGCCGCCTACGTAATCCTGGAATGCCAGGGAGTGGAACCCCACAACGGGCAAGTACCATACCTGGTACAAAATCGCTCCCAGAAGCCTGTGAACGCTCCTGGGGGCTTCTGCGCTTCTGGAAGGAGCTTGGTTGGCTCTCTCGAGTCTAAATGCGGAAATTTGAGCCCGAAACCAATACCATATGCCTTGCACAAGAATATCGGTGCAAGTCGTTGGCCTTGTAACAGTTTGCGACGAACAGCGCCTACGGTTGCCCTATCAGCCCATACAGGTGCACCATAGTACATAGAACCTAAATAAGCAGCTCCGTATATGATGTTTGGTGTATTAAATGATAGACCATGTCGCAGTTGATATCCTTGTCAATGCACAGAAACTCTTTTTAGACTTTTCTTTAACTATTTGAATATGTTCGATAAATGAAAAGTTTCTTTCTAAAACGAATCCTAAATAACACACTGAGGTTTAATTTTTCTACGGTGACATTGTCAAATTTAATGCTCGGCAGTGATTTGAGGTTACCTTTTAAAAGTAGCTGGAAGGTTTTGTTGGGTGAAAAAGTTAAGCGATTGCGTTCACCCTAATGAGATATCAAGTTCAAACGTATATTGGCTAATCCCTCAAGCCCCGCCCTAGTATCAGATTACATCCGGATAGTATTGGAAGCCGATATTCTACAAGTATGGACCCAGCACTGATCCCTAAGGACATCCAATTGTAAGCGCCTTCTACACAGAATGATGACCAAGTCTTAGTTTAGTTGTGCTTTGTGGAAAGTACGAAGAGATAAGGGAATCAATATTTTCAAAGCACTCTTTAATTATTTTTAATTTCAGCAACAGCATGGGCCACCATACGTTGTCAAAGGCGCCAGATATATCTAAGAAAATAGTTTGTCACAGAGTCAAAATTTTAATACGTGTTATTGAAATTTTGACTCTGTGACCTAACCTAACCGATAAAACCGCATCAATTGTCGATTTCCCCAACGTAAATCCAAATTGTCTATCATGAAATTTGACTCCACCTGGCAGAAGCCGAGGCAGTACAAGAAGTTCTAAAAGCTTTCCTAACGATGGTAACAATGTGATTGCTCGGTAGGATTTAGGATCATCCGGCAGCTTGTCGCCGCTTTTTGGTATTATACGAATATTCCCGCACCGCCAAATGCGAGGAAATATTCCAAGCACTTAAAGAAAGTACGTGGAAAATTTATGTTGCTTAATTTCACAAAGTGCTCTCTAGGGGGCGCCACAATGAATAAAACACATTCACATACTTACGCTATACTCAAAGAACAATATAAACATCTCACTGAAATCAAACCATAGCGCGATCTAAATTTACGCTACAACGCCATCTATCGGTGTAGGGGCAAAATTTTACTACTACATTATTGATTAAGAGTTGTTTGATTATAGTGATCGTTTCTATGAATTGAAACACATGTTTTGAAAATGTTGTCAGACACTAGGTGGTCAGCCCGAGCTGATGCAGCAAAGGCGCTTTTATGTGGTTTTACTTATTTATTATTTTATTTATTTGGTTATTCCAATAACGTGGACCAAAAGGTAAAGGCCCGAAATCAAGCTAGCTAAGGTAAGCACGGACTAACTTCAAATATGAGTAAATTGAAAACGGAAATCATGACAGTATTATGGAACTTAATCCTAGAACGTTTGCAATCGACTAGTGCTACGCTGCAATCCGATGATCAAGACCTTAATACTGGATACACCCTTTATGAATCATTACACAGATACGTTTAATGTGATCTACATTCACAGATATCGAGACAAAAGCCAAAGATCTGACTGATTGTAAGACATACCTAGAAGCGAATCTATACATAATCTAATCAAACAAGAATCTAGACATATCTAGAATAGACGCAGGAAGCGATATACGACCATTATAGCAGCTCGATACTCGACGACATTGTTGAAAATGAAATACCTGGACAACGATGTGAAATTAAGAGGCCTTTTAAAAAATAAATAAAATAAAATGTTATTATCAGACATCCAGGTCCATAGTGTTAGTATTACAAAAATGTGGAAGAGTACCTGTGTACAATGGGGAGTTCCACTAAACTACATGTAATACATGCAGCCTAGTAAATCTGCCCCTGAAAGGCCCATCCAACCTGTCTGCAAATACCGTCAGAATGCTGTTGGTGTTCATGCCGACTCTGCGTATAATGGATGCTACCTTCTTACGCATTATCGCGTAGTAGCCATCAATGTATGCATCAGCAAACATGCCTGATTTGCTGCAATACGGGGGAAGCCTCAACAACGCCCTGAAGGCATTGTTGTATTGTGTACGCAGAGAATTGCAGAGCATCCGATTTTTGGGTATGATTAACCCAAAGACTACTGGTGTAAAATGTTTGGTAATATGCCTTGAACAATGTTATTTTAACAGGTACAGAGCAACCAGCAAACCTTCGAGCCACCAAATTTCTACTCACAGCCCTGCGTTCCCTAACCATATCTAAGTCATCCCTCAAGGCCTCGATCACAATGTGACCCAGATATTTAAACTGACTTACTCTCTTTAGTGGTAAGCTATTAAATGTAATCAAAGGGACATCGGTAGGATTCTTATTACTACTCGTAGTTCTGAATACTAACAGTTCACTTTTCTTACTATTATATTTTAACCCATATTGTTTTGCATAATTTTCACAAATTAACTTTCTTATTCCACATATTGTTGGACTTAAAATTACCTGATCGTCTGCATAATTTATGTTATTTAGACATGTTCCATCTATATGGCATCCGACATGTATGCTGTTGAGCTCAAGAAGCAAATTATTAATGTAGATATTAAAAAGCACAAAGCACGGACGAGTATTGTCACCATTGATAACGTACTCGTTGCTTGAGGTGAGCTAATAATTTTTACTTTATAAGAAAGTTCCATTAGAAGAGATTTTGCGAAAATCAGCAACCGTCGTAAGTGTTTACGCAGATTATTAAGAGGACAGCCTGGATGACAAATTAGTGCAGTAGTCTGCATTGCTCAATTCTGATTGGGGTGGTATTATTGACTGCAATAATCACGAGGCTATAGAACTGCAAGTTTACAAGCTTTTGCTAAATAATTCTTAATAATCTTGTTTCCCGAACGTTGATTTTTTCTTGCACTTTTATTTATCTCTCATGATCACCATCCACAGTGGTGAACGATCTTTCTCAACATTAAAATGTGTTAAAAATGAATTGAGGAACACGATGAGCCAAAAACGTCTTTATCACTTCACTTCAATTATTGATTTACTTAGAGAAGTGGAAATGAACAGTAAAATATAGAAATATTAAGTTAGTTAGCACCGATTGAGCTTAAATTTCAAACCGCTTCAAGAATGGTTTATTTTTTTGCAACCACAATGTGTCACCGCGAAGCATGTTGGGACTGGCAGAGTACATACAGTTAATCTATACTAATTATAAAGAGGTAAAGTTTGTGTGTTTATATGTTCGGGGTTGTCTCCGGCACTACTGATCCAATTTTGAAAATTCTTCACTGTTAAAAAGGTTTAATATCCCTGAGTGCTTTGTACCTACCTACCTGACTACTTTTTACCTCCTTTTTACCTACTTTTACTTTTTACCTACCTGACTACTTTTTACCTCGATAACCGACAAATACGCGAACGGAGCCTTGGGCAAAAGCTAGTTATTTATAAATTTGACCAATTAAATCAAGGAAAGTTTGTAAGAGTTTTGTTTTATTTGATACCATAAAGTTGTATATTCGAATTTGTTACAAGGCCCGCGTTTGCTTAATAATGGCTGTCCTCACTGTCCTCAGGGCAGCGTCTTTGGGCCATTTTTTTATTTTTTATTAATGATCTTTGCAAAAGTCAGTTCAGAACTGCAGAATTATAACACCAGAGATAGCACTGTTCTCCTGGTCACTGGTCGAAATTGAAATATCACAGGGTTGGCGTTAAAACAAGGAATGAACTGGCTGGATTTTAACTTCCTTACCCTTAACTTATCTAAAACCAAATACATACCAATATTTACCATCTATCAAGCTTCTCAGTCTCCTGCCTCTTTTTCTCTCTGTGCCCATACCTGTCCTTCACTAGAAACGAGCATGGTTACATATTGCAAATGCACCTTCGTGGAATGCACGTCATGTATTAGCACCTTGGATTTATAATGGACAATACACTGGCTTAGAAGCATGTTGCTTATAGAATCTTCTATCTCTGAAAGTCGCAAGCTCATATACGTTTTCAAACATCTAAGAATCGTTCTTGACCTTCTTTCTCTATAAACATTCTGAAGATCTGATCAGGTTTGCCAAATTTTACCTAGCCGAACAGAAGTAGCGAGTCGGCATTATTGTTTTATCAGGTCAAAACTTTATAATAAACTAAATTAGGAGTTGAATCTATTTCCATTAACTCTTAATAAATGTAAAGTGACGTGCGTCGCTTGACTTCTATATCTAACATAAATATGCAGAGTCCGAACTCCTCTTAAGCAACCAATATACATAGGTACGCGTTCACATAAACGAACTCACACACATCCCCTTCACACACTAACCTTAAAATACACGTTACCATAACTTTATCACATTTACACTCACACTACCCACCATACACATTCTATATACTCGCATCTCCTGTTGGTATTTGGTTTTGCATTTTTTTATCAGTGTTTTTTGGTATTTTGGATTTCTTGTATATTTTGGAAGAGAGTGTTGATATCGGCGACACAGTTTATTACTACTGCGAATTTCATCGTTTACAAATTTACTGTGTAAAATCGTTTTTTATGTCCAAAAAAAAGATTAGGAATAAAAGCTCATGAACATCAGTCAAAGCAAATCTATATATGAGTTTTTTTATTTTTCTTTTTTTCTCATATTAATTTAAATGTTTCAATTCGTTTTTATAGCCTGTAGAAGTGATTAATAAAAAAATTCAAAGTTTCATTTTGAGCGCCTGACGAAAGCCCTTTTTAATATGTAAAGCGATGTTAAGCAATTCTTTTGATCCATTTGTGTGTTTCAGATGTGAGTGAAGTTAGTAAAACCCCACACCTAACTCTGGATGGTTGGACTAACGTACTGAAAAGGCTACATCGTACTTGTGTCTCTTAAGTAGCAGATGTTCATGGCCGGCGGTTGTCACTTACTATCAGGTGACCTTGTGAACTTGTGTCTAGTTTAATATATTAAGTATTAGTCGCTGGTGAGTGCCACTTTTTCTACTTGAATACAATTTTAAGAGTAAACCATGACAGTGTTGTTGATTATGTGAGATGTTATCTTTCTTTCGTATTGGATCATCTAATATGAAAGTCACTGGCATCCAATTTGGATGGCAGTAATGAATAGGATTGTAGAATTCTGAAGCCCTATCGTTTTGAGAAGCATGGCTTGACTTGACTTTCAGAGTAGCTAAATTACACATGTTGTTATAGAATTCGTTAATGAACCTAATTCAAGCCATGATCAAAATGGTAATTCTGGAAACTGGGTTACTTTAACTAAAGGTTATTCACCCTGTCCGGTCCAGCTTTGATAGTACTTCACATTTTACTGATTCAGCAGTAATAGAACTGCACAAGCTATATTTGTGTAATATTGGTATTGGCTCCATAGTATTGATCGACTACCACATCTCTACCCCAATCACCCACTGAGTGAAAAACCATTGCCCATATATGACGTCATCATTTATTTGTGATTTCTAATGTATATAAGTCGCCTTATTAGACTGCTAACACCTTCCATAGACCCACATTTCGTCCATTTGGAATGAACGGGTCTAAGTGTATTGCTCCACTTATTTATTTTTTCTTAGAATAGGATTTTTATACGGTTTGTCCATAAATAAACCTTCTTGCGGTTTTAGAAAGTCATTTATTTACCATTAAATAGATATACTCTCATGTCCAAAAGTCTATGTCAAATCAGTAATTGTTATTAAATAGCAATTATTACACTATTTTCCAAAAGTTCTATTTATTTATTGTGATTATATTACAAATTAAGCCAAGTTTCTGAAGAAAGTGAGGCCGTCGAGGAGGTTGTTGATGATTATCAGCAGAATAGCTGAGATTGTTTCGTTCAGGTCCTCCTGCAAAAAAAAACGATATAAATGTAGGTTTGATTACGTTAGTTGGTTAAGAAAAATATTTAAAACGTTTACTTAAAAAACACGAAAATAGTAAGAAGTTTTTAGTGAGAATAAAGTTATTTAGAATTTAACACAGGCCAGCGATTATATTTTGTGATATATACTTGTTTGAAGAACTATAAATAACGGTAGATTTAAGTTATTAAACAACTGTCCCTAGGTATTTTTAAAAGTACTACTAATACACATTATTCACAACATATTTTAGTCTTAAATAGTTTTACTCACCCTGTTCTGTTCAAGGAGGTCTGGAATTAGGGTACCCAATAAATGGTTCAACCTGTCGGTGAGGTCCAAGTGGAGCAATTGTACTGTGGTAAAGCCAGACTGCAAGTAAAAAACGTATTTGCTTATTGTTCATTCGAAAAGGGTAGGAACCCTAGGCAATGATAAGAGGACATTAAATTGTAATATAAGTCAGTAGAGTGATTGTTTTGATGCGAAAAGCTGTGATATATCTCTCCAACGCAATCACTCGACCAGGCAAGTTGTACGATTACTAATTACAGAACTGGAACCCTGTATAATATTTTTTCTGTCAGAGGTGTAATGATAATTATAATTGTTTTTCATAATAGGGTATTCAAAGTAGGACTTTTTTTATTGAGATATATATATATCAGATACTATTATTAAAATTAGGTACTTACATCGATGCCACCGAGAGAGGCATCAACCACCAAAGAGTTCAAAGAAATGCCGCCAATGAGCGAGAGATGAGCGTCTGCAGCAACGCGAAGAGATTTGATGGAAACACTGCAAAGAAAAAATACATTCTCACCTGTTTACATAATCATAATCATAATATAATAGTTTTAAAAGGTGTGAATGAGCTGTGAGCTGGAGCAAGGAGAGGTCATTTTTGTGTAGTCAGTACGCATGACACCCGACCCCTTCCCCCTTCATCCGACCTAAGCTATCACCTTCACGTGAAATAATGTCTTAAAATGCTATTTTCTGTGCTTTTGCAATCTAAATACAATAGCTCTATTACATAGGAAGTATTTGTTTTAGGACATTAGTCAGATACTTCTCATTGTTACTAAAAGCAGAAGCCTGATTAGTCTTACCGTCCTGAGATGAGTCCTTCAGCGCTGTCACCGAAACCGGACACCTTACCGTAAGCACGTCCTAAAATAATACAAAAAAAGAATAAGTTAAAAGAGAGGGAGAAGACAGATAAATATATTTCAATAATATTGTATCTCTTACTGACCGATCGCGATTTCGATGCCTGGTAGTTCAAGTTCGATTCTAAGACGGGTTATCGAGAAGTTGATGTCTTTGATATTGATGTTGCTCAGACCAATTACGGAAAGGTTTTCAACATAACCAACTGCTGTGAACAATCTGTGAAGATACAAATTACATGTTAAGGACACTTGGAAACAAAACATTGTAAGGGAATAACACATACATTATCAAAGCTTTCTTTAGTTTTTGAAAATGTCAATGAATTGAACTTTTTTGTTTGGATCGATTTAGTGAGGAAACCAAAATAAGTTTTTCAATATGGTTGACTGCACGGATGGCGTAGTGGTTTAAGCGGTCGCCACGCCGCTTCCTACTACGCCGAGTGTTGTGGGTTCAAACCCCACATGGGACGACACTTTGTGTGATCCACAAATTGTTGTTCTGAGTCTGGGTGTTCTTTGTGTCCGTTTCATGTATGTTTGTAAAGTCCCCCGCGACACAGGATTTATTCCTAATGCGGGAGTTGTCTTTTTAAAATAATAAAAAAAAAAAAGAAAAAATATATACACATGACTTATTTCACTACATATAGTGACTACTGACCATAGTAATCATTCTTGAATGGCTACTATCGTTATTTTTTAATATAAAATCAAGCACAATATTTTAAATATGAAAGTGAGTTGATTTGTTTGCTTTTTACGCTTTTACGCCTAAACCACTAAACCGATATTAAAATTCTTTTACTAATGAAAAGGAACCTTTTCAGCCTGTAACGTATGCTAATTTTTACTGTATAAACCGGTATATACTAGATTAATAGATATAAAGATGGATTGTTGTAAATCCATAGTTTTTGTTTCAACAGTAGTGAAAAGTGCATATAACACATGTTTGAACACTTACTCAGGAACGGGTAAAGCAAACTTGCCAGCCTCTCTATGGATCAACAAGGGGTCCAAACCACGATCCCTCATGCCCTGCATGGCGTCTTCTAAAACTCCACGAATTAAAACATCAATGAAGCGTGGTTCAACACCTGTAAGTATTTAAATATTAAGTAATACAACACGGTATTCATCTAAACACTAGTAACCAATAACAACCTTCAAACTACAGTTTTAAATTGTTTTGTCAATATCATCGTACTATTTTTAACTTTAAACAGTACTATGGATAAATGCATGTGTTGTTATGGCATTATGTGTATATGCTATGTGGTCAGAAATATCTATTTACTAATCCTCACAGAAATTTGATAAACTTACTTGCTTGCTCGGGGGCAAGTTCGGTGGCGCTGATGCTGCCGATGAGAAGTGCAAACACAAATAAGTATTTCATCTTGAATTTTGATCTACCTACAATTAAAAGAAATTTGATTAATTTTAGTGAAAAGTACAATCTCAGTAAAATAAATAAAGATGGACTCCTTATTCACTCGGTTAAAATGGTATTTATATGGTTTTTTATGGTTCTTCTTGTTGGTTTCCTTGGCTATGAACAAAAAAAATTAAACATAATTTTTTTGTTGTTAGCTCTACAACATGAATTTGATACACAACCAGACTTATTTATCATCCAATTATTTTGTTTAATTTTGAAATACAACTATTTTCACTTTAACTGTACAAAAACCAATCGAATTTATTTTTTAAGTTCTTTTAAGGTACGGGTCGATTTGTTTTATTCAATTCTTCGTTTGGGCCCACTGTTCGAAACCAAACCGGTTCGAAACGAGAATAGACTTCACTAAAGGTCAAATATTCTATCTACCCCACGGCGGGTATCTGAGAGTATTTTTTTAATAATGTATCGAACTATTTTGCTACTTACCGTGGAGAAGCAGATTAAAAGTGAGAAGTTATTACACTTGTACCTGTATTTATACGTAAAAATACATTATCTTTGTGGCTATGCATATCTTTTGAAGATTACACTAAACAGATTATTGTTATTAGCGCATAATTGATTGATTTTTTATTTACAAAATCAAATATTACAAAAGATAAATTTTAGTCAGTAGGGTTAGATAAATGAATAACGTAATTTCTGATTATTGTAACACCAATATCCAGGACAAACTAACAACTAAGACACATCTAATTCGTTGGTGAACGTTAATAATTTCAGTTGGTTTAAGTTATAATAATAATAATATAATATATTTTACTACATTCACACAACGCCATCTAGTCCCAAACTAAGCAGAGCTTGTACTATGGGTACTAGACAACTGATATAAATACATACATACTTTTTTTTTGTAAATACATACATATTATACATAGAAACACCCAGACCAAATCAAACATTAAATGTTCATGCACACAAATGTTTGACTTGAGCTAGAATCGAACCCGCGACCTTTGGAATAGCAGTCCGTTACACAAACCACTACGCAAACCACAACCGGTCGTCAAGTGAAAAAACCTTCATGAACTACAAAAAGTATGACCTCTAACGCTTTTAGGTTTGGTGGTTTTTAAAGTAGGCCGAACCTGAGGCTAGCCGTCGGGGTGGTTTTTGAGTGGAAATACCACATACACCTGACTCCAGCGTCCCAAGGAGCCAGGATTCGACGGGATTTTCCGCCCCGTCAACAAAAAAAAATTTTACCTTGCCTTATTTATGCTGTTTATATTCCGAGAAAATAATAAATAAAATAAAAATAAATAAAAATTCTATCTAGGAAGCTTCCTAGATAGAATTTTAGTCTAGCATTATTTATACCCCAAGAATTACTCAACACCGTAAAATATTTATCTAGAACCTGTGTTTAAAAGAAGTGATCTGCTTAATTGCTACTTTAAACATGAAGAGTGGGTTGGCTTCCCTTTTGGGTTTGGTTGTCCCTTTGGGTAGGGCGTTTTAAATAACTAATAATTAATAATTTAATTAAAATAACGTAATAATTTCTAAAGCGATGTGAGTTTCAAGATTTTCAAATGTTTGTCTATAAGATTCTAACGGCCTGGGGTTACCTGTAGCTCATTTGTAGATTCTTCAATGATGCCATATTCATTTACAACACCAGACCTCCGTAATTGAAATCGAAAACGATTTTCAACAAAGTATAAATTGGACTTAAAGTCACAGAGTTATCATTAAATCCTTGCTCACTTCAAGTAATAGATAAATATATTTATAGCAAAGAATAATTTGAGCTAATGTATTATCAACCCTGCTACATGGAAAATTTGCATGCATGAAAAAGTAAGTGTATAATGTATAGGTGTATTAATTTTTAAGGTGTGTTTAAATTGTCGATTTTCTATAGAAAGTGATGAGTAAAACGTCATATAATATTATTATTAAAGACGTCAACAAGGCCACGCTACGTAATTTTTTTAAGTATTTTTATAATGAAATCGTGATAATTAATAAAATTGATTAGACAATAGGGATTAATGTTTTGTCAAATAAAAGCAAGCCTTCTGTCAGTCATACTGATATCTTCAATTACTCTATACTGACTAGAACTCAGCGGGCCCTCATTTCATAGTCAACGAATGCCAACGTTCTAAATTCAAAAGCTTTTTTTTTTACTTTATAAAGCGCATGTCATCTAGTTTTAAACTATGCAGATCTTGTACTATAAAAAATAGATTACTTATATACTTTTTTTGTAAAATATTATACATAGAAAACACGCAAACTCCGAAACAAATATTGGCAGATCATACAAGCATTTGGTCCGACAAGGGAATCGAATCGATCCTCAGCACAACAGTTGCGTATATTACATTTTAAGATAAATAGGAACTAATTAAAATATGTTTTAAGTAATAATTTAGTTTAGTTTATTTATGTTCGCATGGGATAGAAATGTCATCGTTAGGTAGCCCAGGAAAGGTCCCAAGCGGGCACTAACAGACTATTTTATTTGCCTTATAATAGAAATACCTAGCCCAAATTAAACAAAAAACTGAACGTGAGCTTCAACGCACACTTTACATTTCGGATATGCCGAAGCGGATTTTCTTTAGGTTTTTAGGTATCTAACATAAGCGGGCGAGGCATACAAGCAAACCTACTACAGTAACTACCGACGCTCAAGGTCACCTACATACCTTGATCAAATTTGTGGTTTTTGAATTTTTACTGCAAATCAGAAGATTTTACTATGATGGCATTGTTGTTGCTTACTAGTGAGCAAGCTACGCAGGACAACAGCACTGCAAAGAGAAGGAAAACATGACACAAACCCTATACCAACCCGTCTGGCCAGCGTGGTATAGGAGGCCAAAACCTCCTTTCTAAGGATAGGCTTATGTCCAGCAGTGGACTATTAGAGGCTGTTGATGTGTGTGTGATGATGAAATATTAATTAATTAGTAAGAACACACTGTGAAGTCGTGCTTCTGCACAAATCGGCCAGCTCGAAGAGTGATACCAGGCCGTCATAGAAAACCGTTGTTGAGCAATTATTTCATTGAATTTCACTGATTTACGACTCCCGTATTTCTGGATACGGGGGCATAAAGGGTCGACACACTTACCATCAGGTGACCCGTCTGCTTGTTTGCCCCTTATGTCATAAAACTTGAAAAAAGTATAGTGATATTGTGTTATTTATATAAAACTACATACTTTTCGTATCACTTAGTACTATTTTCCCTTAGTATTATTTTTAAAGTAATAAATAAATAATTTCGGACATCTGACACACAACGCCATCTAGTTTTAAAATAAGCAGAGCTAGATTGACTGATAGAATACTTAAATTATTAATGCCTAATGTTATGATTTCCATTATAGGACTTATCATGAAAAACAATTGCTTCTTCAAAAACATCACCTGCTAATGACGCATTATCGCTCAGTTATCTATGGTATTAAGATAATTAACATCTGTTTATTACTCATGTAAAACATTAATTTTACACTTCAAAATCTTTAATAAATAACATGAAAGAAAAACCATCTAACAATAAGCTATTTTTATGTTTTTTTTAATGGTGTTCAAATTCATAATAAATATTTTACTCATATATGTTACTGTAAAAGCCCAAACTGGGATAAATACTAAGATTTACCGTAGTTCACCAAATTCCTTCTTTTTAGGAAAAAATCCTGTGTCGAGGGGGATTTTACACACATACATCGTCCAAACGTCGTACAGATAAAATATGTTACGTTCCAAAACCACGTGCTTCATTTACTAAAAGGTTTTTCTTTTACTTAGGTCCATACCTATACAATAAAATAAACTTAAGTTGCCCCATATACGGTTTGTCTCACTTTAAATGCAAAAATACACTCAGGTCATTTCTCCAAAACAAATCTTATGATGAAACCGAGGAATTCTTGCCATAAAATCTTAACATATTATTTTAATTAATTAATTTAAATCTAATTTAATTAATTTAAATATATGTACATGCAATGTCTGCCAATATTTATTCAACTATATATATTTAAAATACACACTTACAATCACACCAACCACATTAAATTTAAATATAATATACAAGTACCTGTTCAATCTCAAAAAACAAATCCAAACAGACTATACAAACACACACATACACGCACGCACGCACGCGCCCACCCTCGTATGTAATATATTATATTATTATATATACACACTCACTAACACATACATTCACACTTACACTCATATCCTGCATGAAATTCTTATGTAAATTAATACTAAGCTCAAATTGTAGTCTTTAAATGTTCTCAACTTTTGTTTCATCACTTGTTTTAAATAAATAATTGTATTTACCGATTGCATATTCCAAAGGGGACAGGACTGTTATTCCTTACTACAGGTTACTGCGTAACCTATCAAGGGTAACAGAACTCCACCCACAAGATTGTATCTATATATATGTAATTGAAATTAGAACTAAGTCACAAGCCTTTGTACTACAATCACCTTTTTACCAATAAATTATTATTATTATTATTATTATTATTATACATGTAACGGACACAAAAGACACCCAGACTCAGAACAACAATTTGTGAATCACGCAATGTGTCGTCCCATGTGGGGATCAGACCCACAACACTCAGCGTAGTAGTAAGCGGCGTGACGACCGCTTAAACCACTACGCCATCCGTGCAGTCAGTTCCTTCTATTGTTTTTGCAACATGTCTGTTTATCGACATTTACAGTATATTTGAAGTAAATCTTAAGATTTACGAAGTTAATGGTCGTATATGCTCGAAGTTCAGACTTTTAGAACTCGTTGGTAAATCTTAGGCTTTACTGGTAATTCTTAGGATTAACCGTAGTTCGAGCTTTTACAGTAACATATAATTATAGTTTATTATAAACAAAAAGATGAACTTTAATGGCGAACCAAAACAAAATTAAACAAGGTAATTATTACAAAAAACAACAAATCCGACTGCGTGAAAATCTATGGTTACTTGACACATTGACAAATTTCGTTTTTATACTTTTCGTATACCAGGTTTCACACTCACATTTAAGACGAATAAAATGACACCTGCTAAGCCAAAATCCATCAAGCCTAAACGTGCCAAAACATATAAAGATAAGAATATATCTATTTATATAAGTATACTTCTATTTCAATCGTCTATCTTAACCTATTTTCCATTTATATTAAAAAATAGATAAAGATAGAATTAGCTAAGGCACATACATCACGAAAATAATCTTAAATTTAAAAATCAGTAACTAAATGCAATTGTAGACGAACTTAATTAAAAATAAATAAAAAACAATTTATATACAAGCATTTATTTTTATAATTGAACATAAATGTTGCAAACATTCAATAATGCAATCATAGCACTAATGTTATTTAACTTACTTGAATCACTATTAGAATTGGAAAAGATAACTTTGAATTTAAAATAACGATACAGAAATTCTCGTAGGCCATGTCGTACCGTCTACAGTTTAGGCCATTATACATTGATTATTTTATTTTACATTAAACATTATAGCCGAAGCGGATTATCTAAGCCAAGTATTTGTAAAGCAACGGTTCCAGATGTTAACCTTCAAGATTATTAGTGAATTTTAAAAAGCAAAAGGTAGGTGTAAGTTATCAGAAAAAAATATTGCACACGCTACTTAGCAGCAAATCACCTTCAGAGGATTGTCACATGTGATTATAAAAATTATATAGGCACTATAACTGCTAGATAACAGTTTGCTATGTTGAATCTGACCAGAGCTGGTAATTCAGTAGTAACAAATAATGGTTTTATTACGCCATACTAATAGGTAATGTATTTGATTAACGGCTATTGTTTTTTTAAAATTCACTATTAGTTTCTTAGTTTATTCTACAATCAGTTGCGAAAAGGTACGAAACATTAATATTTTACATAAAAAAATAAGTTTGGAATAAATATTTTATTGTCGTAGCAATATTAAGTAGTGTTAGAAAAATATCTAGTTGTTTCAGGATTGTGCTGGAATACATTTTGTAATCTTTCTCAAATCTGCCCCACAGATCACACATCTGGAATACTCGATCTTAATTTTATTTTACATGCAAGCTCGAAACAACCACATAATTACAGTTCAAATAAATAATATAATATGTCATTTGTTTTTAAAATTTGAAAAAATAAATTTCCTTTATTATGTCATCAAGGCTTAATTATAGCATGTAATTTAAACTGTCCACTCCATCAGATTTTAACTCTTATTTGGCACTACGCATCTGTCTTTTGATATTTAAGAACAAAGTAACAATAATACAGTGCATTTAGAAACAAAGCGACACTACAACTACCAGTATCACCTATGTATCAATATATATAAAAGTGAATAATAGGCACTATATAGGTTTACATACGCAGATTTAAAATAAGCGTAACCCGTGAAACATCGAACGTGGAACTAGAGACATGGATACTGTTACTATACATTAACTATCATAGCGAATAAAAACCGTTCATATAAATGCACGGTTGTAAACATGTAGCCTATTAAAAATACAACAGCAGCTCCAAATACTACGTAAAAATTACATTTAGCTTCTATATCTCATAGGTATCGTCCTTCACAACAGGTTTCTTTTATTTTCGATATATACGTTTTAGGCACCCGCTTGCACGGCCCTTTTAAAAGAACTAAGGGCGAAACGAGTTCCTATGATATTCTAACATTCATTTATTTACATCAATGAAATATTCGGTTGTCTAGTCGGCTGTCGCCAGAGAACTTATAGTAATGTACTAGTAATTTTTAGCTTATATCTCGAATTGTAAATATTCATCTATCGTCCACCAATATTTGAAAGCTGAACTGCTCTGCACTACGATCTCTAGCAACTAGATGTATCGATCCTAAATGTAATGTACTTAATTCTGTATTTCCTAATACATTCAGTATACTACTTTCTGTACACTCATTCACCCTTCCTTTACATTTATCTTTGTAGCTGTGTACAATATCGTCTTTAAGTTTCATAATCAGGAAAGTACCGTTGTTGATCGCATACTCTACAAAATGTTTTATCTGTTTTATGTTTTTCGAAATTATTTCTTACTACAAGCCATTTTATTCCCTTAGGCTGAATAATATCAAACCGTTAAAAGACGTACAACTTTCTAATATTGGTCCGCTACAGAGTTGTGAAATGAACTAGCTTACGTTAAACTTACTATCTAAGGCTAGAATGAACTTAATTGTTTCTATGCCTTGCGTGATATGTATTGCGTTAGAGGCGAGTTAAAGCTAACATTATAATCATTTTTTCATATCTATCGCCTTAGAACTCCGTTATATACCGCAAACCTAACGAAAAGATCTTGCTCCTTAGTTTTATAAAGACAAAGTTGATATTTGATGATAACATCACACCACATGGCAGAAGTTCTTTATTCTACAGAAGATATGTAGATACTTATTCTATGACAAAATTACAACTACTAGTAATCTATAATTTGTTATTAACAAGTGATATGTTGTCGGAGCAATCACTCCTTTAAAAATATAACATTAAAATTTAAATAATACGTTTACATCGCTTACATTTAACTATTGAACTTAATAAATATCTAGACGAATATTTATGGACTCAGCAATTCAACACTCGAGGTGGCTTACAAGTAAAATATACTACATTATAAAAATAAGTCGATAAGAAAATATTCCAGAGATTTTTTTGAAGGTAACACATATTTACATACCCAATAAATAGCGCCTCTACTAATAAGAAACTACTATTACTAACAAGCAACATATATATTGTATTAATATTATTAATTATTGAGAAGAAAAATATTACTACATATGATCAGGTATTGAAGAAGACAGAATCTGATTTTTCAATGAATGAAAAGCTTTACAACAATTAACAATTGGCTAATTAATATAAAAATATATTGTAAACACATGTATAATATCTCAATAAACAATAAAACATGCGTAACCAATTAAAGAGCATACAGAAAAAATATTTAATAATTTATAGTATAATACGTATTCTGTTTCTGAATTATTGTGTCTATTTAAACGAAATGGACTTATTTTTTCTCCTAAATGCTTGACTATAACGTTTTTTTCTATAGAAAATTTGACCAACAATTTGAATCCTTATCCCTAATTTGAAATTAAAAGGTTACGAGTTGAAATTCAGAATTTCAATCATAAACTGTAAACAATGTCAGCACACAAAAAGCAGTTATATTAAACTATACTTAAACACCAAACCTTTATAGACAAAAACTTTTCCTGTTATCAGAGTCATAGTCTTTTCAGTAAAAAAAAAACAATAAATTAAAGCAAAAAAAAAGTAATTAGCACATTCTAAATTCATATAATGTATTTGAACAACGTGCTCTGAGTGAACGCGGTGGCTATCGCAACTCCTACGCCGAAGATCTCATTAGGAATCTTGACTGGAGCTGCACTATTTGTACAATTCCTCGGTGGTTCTGGCTTATCTGAAATTGATAAAATGAATAATATAGATCATCCACTTTTTGACGAAAATAACAGGATAATTCACCACTACTGTCAAGTCAAATCAGTTTCTCTTTATTAATCTGTAAAATGTTCTGTAGAACGACTGACAGATAAAAAGAAAGTCCTAATATAAATATCCTTCCAAACTATTTAACTCGTGAGTTCAAAATGATATATATTTAAAAAAAAAACTTTTAAAGTGAAAACTTCTTAAGGCAGGTTGGCATTTTTGAACTACAAACCAAAGAATGTATGTATTGAGATGGAAAAAAACCATTGAACTCGCGACACCGTTACCGTTACTGACACCTCTGTTTATCAGGATCTACATATATTGGCCCCGAGAGTTGAGTTTGAGTTGAAATACATTGATAATATAACTATATATAATATAAACATATATTATATATCTACGTACAACATAGATATATATTCATGACAGAACTTGTCGAATCGATAAAAACAATTTTTTTTTCCTGTTATAATCATTTTTTTTATTTTCAAGTTTTACTTCTGTCGGCACTGCCGGAGTGCCCCTGTTTTTTTCAGTGCACTTCAATCTGCCTTTCTTTTACTCTGCATCCACTGAACATTAATAACTATAGTAACAACAAAAGTAATCAGTGAGCTAATTTTATTGTCAATCAAATAATTCACAATCGATGAACATGACAAAATGAATACAAGAAAATTATCAGCATATATAAATAATTTCATCGTTCGATTTGCATATAAGCCATCCCACGACAGGGTTGATAGTAAAAGTGCTCTAATTACATAACGATCAGAATATTTTTATTACGATAACAGAACGGGGTAACGGTTCTGTTTTCGTTTCTATTTACAATGATATCATTAGTAATATTTTTGTGAAATTCTAATTTATAATTTTAAGAAAAGGGATGTACTCCCTACTAATCGTTTTGTTTTCTTTTCTCTGATCTCTTTATCATTGAAAAATTAAAGATTACCAATAGACATCTAGACGGATCTTCTTACTCTTCTCTTCTGTAGATAAGCGCAGCAGACGGTTAGGCGTACGACGATGGTGAGGAATGAATTTAAGAAACTGGAAAATCTTTAACATCGTCGTAGGCCTTTCCGTCTGCTACAATCTCTTCTTGTACTTCTTGACTAATAATTTCTGGAATTTAAATTCAACAGCCATAGGATTCTTAAAAATAATTCCTAATAAAAAGGTTTCAAAAATACTTTAAGGTCAGGTTTGACTGTGTCTGTGTATTGTCTGTTCTATTTAGGTGACTTTACATTTTACTATAATCACTTCTTTACTAGAGTAAATTTTCGTGGCGATACAACAAAAAGCACCCATAAGGTTTTCAAAGTTTTTTCATAAGCCTAAGACATAACAATGTTTTAAAATCAACTTACTAGTAGCAGACATCAATTGTGGCAAGTATTTCTGCCAGAAAGCGCACTGTTTTACGCGCAGACCGTGTCCCACAGAACTGGAGTTTACAGCTAGCGATAAATACTCTCGACCAGTCGCCGTGTGAACTGGCCAATGAATTTTTGTTGACTCGCCATTTGAATTTATTGATGGATTCCTGAAAAGTATTTAGTTGAACTGTATTATTTGACACGAAAAACAACTTTTAACTGTTGTGGAGCATAAAATGGAGTTGAAAACTGAATACCATCTGCATTATACTATCTGCAAAATTCTGACAATAATTGCTAAAAATACCAACAACCTGTATTAACCATAATACTCAAGACAACAAAACCTCTAGAGAGAGGGTTCTATGGAGTTCTTGTAAAGGAATAAGTTTACAAGTAGTTTAATAAACTTGGCCCTACTTTTAATGACAATCGTTCTCTTGGGTACTTCCTGACTTGAACGCATTTAAAATAAAAATTGAATTTATTTATGTCAGAAAGATTCAAAGTAAAATAAATAATTTCTTACCCACTTCGAGCAAAATTAGCCCAATATCTCATCAAACGCTTGCTAAAATCGACTTCCTCTGGAGAATAATTTTTCCCCGGATTCAATGGTTCTCCAAACACATAATTGATTTCATCGGCGTGCATAACTCCTGTCCACGATGGCCAAGGATTATTCTTACTACGATGTTTATAGTAATAAGTGAAGACATTATTACCAGTCTCAGCATAGCGATGAGCCATCTCGTTCACTCCACAAGTAAAGTGGTAATCTCCCACCATTTTATCTAATGCATTCCGATTTTTTACAGGATCCTCGGGATCCAACCAATCTGTGTACTCGAAAACTATAGCCTGACGTGCTACATCTGTTACATAAGGGTTTAACTCCCTTACAGCTTGCAAAAATTGTTCTTTGCTTATACCCACATTTTCTTCTTTTGGAAACAACTCAGTTAAATAGTATAAAATGAAATAATAACCCTCTTCAGTGTTTGATCCCATTAAAAGATTGGTTTTTTTGAAATTCTGATGGGCCAAAGATCGTACAGGTATCTCATCTAGAAAGGATCCATCAATAATTGGGACGAAAGGAAATTCACATATACCTAGAGTACCCCATTCATTGTTAACTAGTTCATCAGCAGTTTTTTTTCGTAGGCACTCTATCATCGGTCCCATGTCCGTCCTAGAATGTGGACAGTGCACTGCTTCTGCTAATCGAATGCCGCGTAAGATGCTCTCTTCCCTCGTAATAATAGCCCAAGGTGCTGTGGCTGCTCCCGATTGCATTATCGCTTGAGAAAACATGTTTCTCGATAAAGGAGAAAGCAAGTGTAAAGACACGGACACTGCACCAGCTGACTCACCAAATAAAGTTATGTTATGAGGATTACCTCCGAAGTAGGCAATATTGTCTTTAACCCACTGTAGTGCCATAAGCTGGTCAAATAGACCAGCATTACCTGGTACATCAGGAGTATCAAAAAATAGAAAACCGAGTGATGCAACTCGATACTGCATAGATACGTAAACAATTTTCTCTTCAGATACCAATATTTTTGGATCGTAGACATCTAAAGTGGCTGTTCCCGAGTAAAATCCGCCTCCAAATACCCATAGCATGACTGCTGCGTTTTTAGGCCTCGGTCTTGGTGTTACTATATTTATATAGAGACAGTCTTCTTGCATATCAGTGTTGGGATTCCACATCATCGCACCGGGAAAGTCTCCGAACACAGTATCAATAATTTGGACGCATGTATGGGGCAGTGTAGTTGTATTTAAAATTTCTTCACCCCAGCTTTCTATAGGTCTTGGATGTCTAAATCTTAAGTCTCCAATTGGTTTCTGTGCGTACGGAATGCCAAACCATGCGTCAACTTTTTTTCCTGTGGCTGCAGTAAGTGTAATTCCTTTGACCCTACCCTTTCTAGTGCGGACGACTAATGGATCATCTTCTTCTGGTCCAAGTTGAGGCTCGTCGGCCATAGGCAGTTCCTCGGCTCGCTCATGGTTAGAATAGACTCTTTCGTCATACTTAGCCCTCTTAGAGGAAGATTCGGCATCAGCTAATTTGGCGCGTTTAGAAGAGGTCTCGTGATCTTCGATTCGGGGTAGAATCGTGTCTAGTTCAGGATTGTATCGGACGGCCTCGCCATGACCACGGTAGGGCTGAGGTGGCGCCGGTGCAGGGAAGTGTAGGGGGTGGTCGGGCGCGTGGTGCCGCGCGCGATGCTCATGCGGGCCGGCGAGCGTGCGCGCCGCCAGCGCCGTCAGCGCTGCCAACACCACGCGCATACCGCCGCTCCACCCGCTCCCACTTACACACACCACCTGAAAATATTTATAAAATTATAAGTTTCGTTTCTTACACAGTAGTCCGAAAGATCTAGGATACAGGTTTATTTTTCAATTGGAAGAAACCCTTCTAAAGTTAACATTCAAACATTAACTTCACAGTGTATTTAGTATTTCTAAAGCAAATATCTAATGCTCGCCGCTATTGTAAGACTTTTGGCTCACTTTTGACATTTCCTCAACGAGTCTCCCGTAATATTTCTTACCACGAGTATCATCGAAAACTTCTTTCGGCGCTCAAATGATACTTCTTAATATTTACAAGCGTAATGAAAAAGTAATTATCACAATTATATTTCACAAACAAATATTTGAAGAATTAACAATTTAATGGTTTTGTTATTAATCAAACATAAAATCACAAAGTGACTACCGACGCCGATTGACATTTCAACTCAAGAACCAGTGCATTGTCCTTCTGATCCCATCCCCATCCAATTGGGATTTTTTTCTCCCCGTAGTTCCATGTAACTGGAATGCTGTTTATGCAAAACAAAATTAGTCCCATTAGTTCCAGTATAATCACAATGAAATAAATATGTTTAACTATCATTTGCCATTGTTTATTAAAGGTATTTAGGTTAGTAGTTTAAGTAGTTAGGTTAATTATTAAGAAAAGACATGACTTATGGGTTACATATTATCATATTATTACATATTATATAATACATGTTTTATTTTCTACGTCTATCTACTTTATTTTTTTATTTTTATCTGTACAATGTTGTGTTTTATATAAACATCACCTCCAGATATTATTGACGTGAAGAGGTAACAGACAAACAGACAGACAAATACACTTTCGCATTTATAATATTAGTATGAAGTATGGATTAGAGCGTATAATAAATAATTTATATGAAACAAAAATATATAAAAAGTAGTTGTTTTTATAATCAACGGCCTCTCGTTTGACTGCACGGACGGCGTAGTGGTTTAAGCAGTCACCTCGCAGCGCTCAACTACTCACACATACAAGTCAACTACTGCGCTGAGTGTTGACTGTTCGATCCCCACATGGAACAGCACTTTGTGTGATCCAAAAATTGTTGTTCTGAGTCTGGGTGTTCTTTGTGTTCGTTTCATGTATGTTTGTAAATTCCCCCGCGACACAGGGAATGGCAAAAACAAATATGTTTAAAAAAATATATGTTCAATGTATCTATAGATCATTTATCTGTAGTAACGTCAAGAAGATTATCTTCTAAAATCTAAAAAAGAATGATCGTGACAGAGTGTTTGTATTTGTATCACCATGGATGATGTCTTTATGTCCAAATACTCGGTATGCCTTTTCATAGAACTTTGTGCAAGCTACCTGAGTCCTCTCGTTATCTTGTACTCGTAGAAACCCACATATCCGTGTAGGTTTCTACAACTTGTTTTATTCGGTTCGATAGATCTATCAAAGCGAATAAAACCACAAGGTGTTCCATTACTAGAGAATATATTGCAAGAAGTTGGTGACTAGTGAGTAAGTTCTCGAGAAGTAAGAGAAGAAGTGAGTAAGACCTGCTGGGGTAGACCCTGGCCGATTCAAAAATATTAAATAGCCACACCATTGCGGACGCAGAACACCTCGCGCGACCATTTCCCGCTTGTTTCTGCTAAGGCTGCTAGCTGCTGTAACATTCAACCTCATTTCTTACCCCCCGGCTGGCTCTCATTGACTTCGAAGATCGCCTCTTTAAATATCCTCACAAAAAAAGCGGTTGATCGTTTGGAGCTACCTATTTCCTACAACTCCTCCACCATCACAGCACGCAGATTTGAGAAGGGTTTACTAATATGTTCATTGTTATGCATTTCGTCAATCTTTTTACTGGAGTCGCTTTAGATTATCAATTGAGAAATATCATAAGTAGTGCGTCACATTTAGTTGATAACCTAATTTATATTAATTGTTAATTAATCCAACTATCTTATCAAACCATCCACGTAAAACATTATCCTAATACCTATTGACATTAACTTACTTGCAGTGTTTTTGTAGGCTAAGCAACCAAGTTTGATAATGCTACTGCATATTTTAAGCTCTTTTTGTTGCTAAGTCGGAAGAACGCAGTTAGGTGTAAATAGGCAGTAGGGGCAAAGGTAAAAGACGTCTACAAATTGACTAACGTGATGACATGATGACAGAAAAGCAAGCTAAAATTGGCATTATATTAAAAGAAAAGGTAGATAAGAAGAGAAGGTAAAGGTAGGAATATTTTTATACGGATGGCTTGATAAATTATGTTAGAAATCAGGATCAGGTCAGGATCGCAGCTGTAATACGGACAGGCTATTTTGGGGAACACGGAACTAATCAAGCTGTCAATTACAATGACTGAAATGAATAGTGAATTAAAATAAAGACATGTCCATGACATGTCTTTATTTTACTACGAAAAAATTAGCCCATCAATACCTACTGTTCTTTTTCATATAAGGTCATCTTTTGGTTATGTATCAGTATTTCATAGAATATTTTAAATTTTTTTCGGTATTTGTTGATGGTAATAATATTCATATGTACAATATACCTCACGTTAGCAGCGTGATAGGTTAATAAATCAGTGCCTTAATTTTATTTTATTGTTGGAGTTACTTTAAACAAGTCTCAGCAAACCATTAACAACTATAGCAAAGGGTTGCATGGATTATAAATATGCACCTATAGTATACGTAAGATACCTAAAAACATTCGGTTCTGGTATTGGCGATTTTAATTAAAACTTACGAAAACTATGTTACTTTAAAGATGGGGAACATATGCCAATGTTGTCCTTAGTGAGAGTAGTGTTTCTATGTACCTAGCGCCATCTAGTTAATTTAAATGTAAACATGGAGACTGAGTCGTGCTGAAAGTTTTTATGCTGGTTAATAATGATAAACCGGTATGGGGGTCTCGGTAGGCTGGTCGGAGGGTACTATCGTGGTATTAGGATATATTAAATGTTTTACACGCTATTTACATGAACATTGATGTATGCAGATTTATAACTATAGATAGTATATACAACACTAACATTCAATTCTATTATCTAATCAAATTGTATCGCATGTTTTTGGATTTGTAGGTAGTTTACTAATACTTTTACTTGAAAACGTTTTTTAATTATTTTTTACATCAAAACATTTTTTTTTAATTTTATTATCAGAAAAAAAATGTTACTGATAGCAATACTAAATTGAGTAGTAATGTCATTAAACGGCACTATCAAATCTGACATTGCTCATGAAATAAAGAAAAATGAACTCTTTAGAACACGCTCAAGCTATGTGCCTACTGGAAAGCCACGCATCTTCACACACTTCTCGTCACAGAAAACAGAAAAACAGTGTTTTTTTATTGAAGAGGGGGCAAACGAGTAGACGTATCATCTAAAGGAAAGTGACTACCACCAGTGAACGCCTGCAACTCAGGTGTCACATACGCGTTACCGGCCTTTGAGGAAGGAGTACGTTCTTCTCTTGAAGATCGTATCGAAAAGCGCACAGTGGAGTGCCAGTTATCCAGGTGGTAAGGGGGATTTTTTTTCCGCGTAGAACGATAGCTTAAAGTTGTGGCCGGTATCAGTCCGATCGATTCCTTGGAGCACTCTTCATGATATCTACGATAGAGAATGCAGAGTGAAGCTACTACTCTACGTAACGCCAAGGGATCGAGCCGGTCGGAGATCTTTTCGAGTCGCTCTTCGTTGGATACGGTCTAGAGAGAGGTCCTGTTAAACAATACTTTCGTTGCCGAGTGTGTGAACTTACCGGAACCCGAACCCACTGACTCCTCTTTTGAATTGTAGGTGTCACTTACCATTAGGTGACCCCTCTGCTTGTTTGCCCTTCTAAACCATAAAAAAACGCCATATATCTTTGTAGCATTTCAATTAGTGACCCATAAAGTTTATTTCCTTAACCGTTAGACACATATTACTCCTCCTCCTCCTCCTCCTCCTCAAACAAACCTAAATGTTCTACTTAAAAGAAGGAGAGAATCCAAGCCTTTCTTGTTACAGGCGCTTCAGGGATACATTCAAACACAATCAAACTCGATTCTCTTCAACTTTATTCGTCTTGATTCATTGATCTTGCATGTTTGGGATATCATTAGCACAAAAGTAAAAGAGTGAGGTCTCGTTTTGGTAATGTACTGGACATAGGCCAAGGTCTTTAAATTTTAATAACATTACTGTTTCATAGGTCCACGTGGTGACGGATTAAGAATACGACTAAGGGAGCAAACTACTCAGGACAACAGCACTGCAACGAGAAGGAAAATTTGTTTTTTTATATAAGCAGCAGTGGACTATTAAAGGCTTTTAATGCGCTATGACTGTGTGAAGTATACATGACAGTTTGGCAACAACTACGAATTGCCGCATAGCAACTTAATAGCATCATTTTTCACCAAAACCCTAAAGAAACACTCCAATTCTTCTAAATTATAGCGAAGTCCGTGATATCGCCCGATTGCGTGTCCGAAGGCCAGACTCAATGCAGATAGGGCCTATTTGCAATTCAAAAGCCGACGGTGAGTGGTGGCAGCGCGACAGGCCTGGCTATCAGTCGCACACGTGACCTTGGCTGGCTTTAATTGGACCATAATTGTGATCGGTTCACGCCTGAAACCGTTACTAAGTCATTGTATTTATTCTGTCCAAGAATGAAATATCAAGAAAAGCGGCAAATAACAGTCACCTTGAGATTAATTTTCCTTTTTCTTGCCACACATACTTTTAAATTGATAACTATTTAATGTTTAATGTTTATTATTATTTCCCAATGAGTTTAAACTTTTGAATCAATCATATACATAGGTTAACACTTACGCCAACAAAGAGGCAGAAAAAGGCGAAGTAAAAATATTTTATGTTTCGGACAATATTTTTCGGACGTCTGACACACAACGCCATCTAGTTTCATACTAAGCAGAGTTTGTACTATGAAAGCTAGATTGACTGATAAAATACTTATTTCCCTTTTTTGTAAATATACAAATTACTTATTAGTACATACGTATTATAGATAGAAAACACCCAAACTCGTAAACAAGTATTTTGCAGATCATACAAATATTTGGTCCACCCCGGAAACGAACCCGAGACCTCAGCTCAGCAGTCACATACGCTACCACTGCACCACCGAGACTGTCAAATCAACATTAGAGAGCAAGGCTGAAGCCGTCAACAAGGCACCTCAGAGATTAGATCAATAAATTAGGAGTATATTATAAGTACAGATAGGAAGTAAGGGAAGGCAATAGGTTAGAAAGGAATATCGCTGTGTAATACCTGTCATTTAATTAGTCGTTTAATTAGGTATCGCCGGAAACTGTACCTATTAACCGGAGTAGCCGGAGTACCACTGAAGTTCCGTCAGTAAAAAACTGGATGAATCGGCTCTGTAGGAAAGCTGACCGGACAATGTCCGGTACCATATTTTAATTCCATTTTATAACTTAACACCCTACAATAAGGGCAAGTTGAAGCAAATTGAACCAAATTTGTTACTAATAAATTAAAGTAG